CCCTACTTTATAATGTGGAGACAATATGATTGCAATAATTTTACTCTACTTCTTAGTTATTAGGATACATTAAAATAAATACTGAAGCTAACATAGGCTACTTATGAAGTAAAAGAGGTTTATCTTTTTATTTTTTTGGAGACAGGATCTCACTATGCAGTTCAGGCTGGCCTTGAACTCACTGTGTAGCCCAAACTGGCCTCAAACTTGTAGCGATCCTCCTGCCTCAGGCTCCTGAATGCTGGGATCACAGGCATGCACCACCATGCCTGGCTAAGAGAGGTTTATTAAGCTCACAGTTTTGGAAGCTCGGAGTCTAATTGCCCAGACCTGTCATTGTTTGCATCGCCTCATAGAGAATGGTGGATGGCAGTGGCTAGACTGTATGTTGGGAACAAGCAATTATATCTGAAGCTTAGAGGGAAGGGAACATAGATCCGAGTCTTAACTGCCCCTGAGGACTTAAGGACCTTGCACCAGGCCCTGGCTCTTAAAACACCTGCAACATCTCCATACTGCTGCCTCAGGACCAAGCTTTACAGATGTGAGCCTTTGGGGAGCACACAGTGTCCAGATGGTGATGCTGGGCCTTGCGGAAGCAGGAATTGGCTTACTGGAGGGAGGTCTGGGCATCCAGGGACTTGGGATAGCAGAGATGTGGAGAGAAGAGTGGTGTTTTCAGAAGCTGCTGTGCTGTTGAGCCTGGCACGGCTGTTCCACAGGAAGGGCTGTGCCGTACTTGTATAAAACAGGTGGGCTTCCTTCCTTGTGTAATCGTTTACAGTTCCCTATTCTAGAGAGAAAGTGCTCAGTTCTTCACGTGGAAGATAGTCATAATGATTGGTGATTCCAGTTTCCGTGAACTTTGTTCTTTCTGGTATTCTGGCACCCTGGTTCTTTGATTTCTCTTTGTCAGGAAGCTTGTCAGCCACTCGTTTCCCTAGACAGATACCAGGTCTTGCTATTTCACTCTCTTTCTGGTTTCATCTTTCAGCTTTGCACTCTGGCACCTCCTTGCTTTCCAGGGCACTCATCTACCACTGTTGCAGTTATCCTCCTAGGCGGTCTCTCTGCCTCACAGATTCCACTGTCATGATTTCAAGATAATCACTCCCTGTATAACCTGGAACTCCCTGACGGTTCTCTTTGTTCACTGTAGCTGCTCCTATGCCAGTACTCTGGGAGAATAAGCAGATACATTTTCTGGAGGAAAACACAAATAACTTTAAATTCTTTATACTTTAAATTCTTCGCCATTACTTCTACCAGGCATGATGGTGTGCACCTGTAATCACAACACTTTGGAGGCTGAGGCAGGAAGATCACCTTGAATTCTAGGCCAGCCTGGGCTACATAGTGAGACACCCTCTCTCTCTCTGTCTCTCTCAAAAAAAAATTTATTATCATTACTTTCAAGTAAGTCTTTAGTACTTTCCCAGTAATTCTGTTGTCCTGGCCTCTTATTCTTACACTCCTCTATGTGACAGTTTCACACATGCTTCTCTCTCCTCACTTTTTTCTCTTAGTTGATGCCTTTGCTTCCCTGTTCACTGGGAAAAGAGCCTCTTTAAACTCCCTTGTTTGTTCTTTTACAATCCTTGAGCTCTCAGGGGCCCTGACCACAGTCCTTGAGCCACTGTGTTTTTCTATGTAATTTCACTCCAGTGATTTCACTTACCGCATCACGACCATGCCACGTTGGAACACTGGTGATTGCCAAATCTATATCTGCAGCCAACACCTCCCCACTACCGCATTGGCATTTCTTTTTGAGTATCTAACAGGCTTTAAATGTAGTGTTGGGATGGGGCTGGGGATTTAGCTCAGCAGCACGGCGCCTGCCTGGCAAGTGCAAGGTTGTGAGTTCAATTCCTGGTACCGGAAAAAAAACCAAACAAACAAACAAAAAAGTGTAGTGTTGGGGATGATGGCGATAGTGATGCTGGGAATTGAGTCCAGGTCCCCGGCATCCCAGGCAAGTGCTCTGCTACCCAGGTGCATACAGCACCTGCTCTCTAACAGGGTCTGATGATTAAACTGAAAGCCCAAGTCCAGAGCCTTTGTTCCAGACTATTTCTCCCTGTCTTCGTTACATCAGTACAAGGGGATTCTGCCCTACCAGTTACGCAGACCACAAACTTTGCTGTCATCCTTGACCTCTGTCTCTGAGTCAAACCCTGTAGCCTCTTCTTTTTACCTCCTTTGACTGTTCTATTTTGGTTCAAGGTAGCATCTCCTCTCACCTGGGTTACTGCGGTAGCTTCCTATGGGACTCCATTTCTGTCCATGTCCTCCTCTCATAAGTTGTTGCAAGGGTGATCCTTTAAAAATGAACGTCTTGTGACTTTCTGCAGCCACACTGGGCTTCCTGCAGTTCTTCAGACCTGTCAAGCGTGTGTCGCTCTCACGTTTTCAGCCTTGCTGTTCCTCTGCTTGTAGCATACTTTGTCCAGACATTTGTATGGCCAGCACCTTCGCTTCCTTTAGAACCTTCCTAGATGTCTTAAGTAAGACTTTCTCCTGTCCTCCTTCACGTATGCGTACTGTCTTATTTTATTTTTCCCCAGTTATCAGAGTCTGACTTACTATGTATTTAACTTAATTTTCATTCCTGTTAAGTTCCATGAAGGCAAAGATTTCTTGCTTATTCATTTTCAGATCCCCAGAGCCTATTAAATTATAAGTATCAACCAGTATTTCTTGAATGAATATATAAACCAACCCCCCTCCCCCACCTGCTTCATCCTTCCAGGTGTATTTTCTGCTAGCCTCTCCTTTTTGCTGTATTCTAAATGCTCATCTTTTTTTCCTTTCAGGTGTATTTTTAAAAATCTTATTTATTTACTTATTCGGTTTTTTTCTTTATTGAGGTACTGGAGATTGACACAGGGCCTCTCACTGAGTTATGTTCTGAGCCCTTTTTATTTTGTATTTTGACACAAGGTTGAGACCTAAGTTGCCCAGGCTGTGTTCAAACTTGTGATTCTCCTGCCTTAGCGTCTCAGAGTGCTGGGATTACAGTAGTATTTTATGTTATGCTTACTTGTGCCTCAGAAATTTCATACCATTTGTTACTTTCTGCTTAGAATACTTCTTTTCCTGTCTAGTTAATGTCTGTTCATCCTTTTGGTATCAGCTCAAAAGTCCTTGCTTCAGAGCTCTGTGTGAGGGCTACTGTGATAGTCTTAGTCTTGCTAACTTGCATTTGACCTTCTGTCCAATTAAACTGAAAACTGCACAAGGCCTGGGCCTGGAATGTAAAGCTACCAGTGTTATCTGTCTGAATAGTAATGAGCACTTACTAGATTCTTGTTTTGGCTGTAATGTTCTGCCTCCTGGATGCAACAGGTTGTTCTTAAAGATCATCTGTGTTAGCAATGGCCGTTTCTTGAAAACGTCTTGATATTGAGTAAACATGATTAATGACGAGTGTGATACAGTTTAGTGTCATTGGTCAGAGGTAGGCTGAAAACGAACTGTGTATTTCTCAGTTGGCCTTCTGTGTGAGGATGTGAATTCAGGTAGAATCTGCCTCAGGAGGTTCTGATTTGAGTCAGTGGAGAAGTGTGTGTGTACTGATTCTATTGTTGACATGAAGCTGACCCAGTACATTTAGTTGCTTTATTTTTTTAAAAAATTATTTAATCGACTTTTGCTTTAGTATTTAACTTAAAAAGAGACGGAAGACTGATTAACTCTTTTCTTAACCAGCAGTTAATTTTGTCAGAATGTTTACTTTTGAAAAAGTATTTACTGGGTAAAGTTTTTGTTAGGGTTGTTTTGAGGACTAAAGAATGTATATGAAAGTGTGTCAGAGCACCTTTGCAGTTTATTATCATGAATAGTTGTGACATTAGGCAAGTAAGTTCAGGTTTTTCATTATATTTGATCATTCTAAAGTGGGGGTACAGGCCAGGCGGGGTGGCGCATGCCTGTAATCCCAGCACTCGGGAGGCTGAGGCAGGAGATTCGTTGTGAGCTTGAGGCCAGTCTGGGCTACAAAGTAAGTTCAAGGTCAGGCTAAACTGCTGGTAAAAACCCTGCCTCAGAAAGACTAAAGTAAAGTGGGGGTACAACTAGGACTGAGCCCGATGGCTGCTCCTGAGGATTAGATGCAATGGTAATATGTGCATGCGCCCGTATGCAGAAAATCCTTGGAAAAGGTCGCTCAGTTTTACGCTGGCTGCTATTGTTGCCAATTTCTTTTGAAGTTGAAGTGTTTATTTTTAAATCATTACAGGGAATCTTAAGGAGAATTCAAGCTCTCCTCTTTGTGACTTTTGGCATTTTGGTTAAGCACTTTATGCTTCAGGTACTTTAACACCTATAGGAAGGATAAATGGTACTTGTACACCTAATTCCTTTTATTTTTTTGGTGTTTAAAGAGTCACAAGAATCATCAAAATGGGCTTCTAAAAAAAGTTGCATTGTCTTCTTAAACCTTTTAGGACAAAATATATGTTTCAAAATTTATTTCTGGAGTGATCAGTGCCAGTTTCTAAAAGGAATATGGATGTCTTCTGAGCATCCTTCTTGTGATGGCGAATGACTCCTGCTGCGGCTTGCTGCTGCTACTAGAGCCCCCCAGTCCCTTGGCATCTCTGGAGCTTGCTGACAGCACAGGACTATTGCTGTCTGTAACCCAGTCTGCTGTGAAGTGAACAAGATGTGACGGGTGCTTCCCCTGCACAGTGCGTGGAAACATGGTAGATACCTAAGTACTCCTCACGGTGGAGAGTTAGTAAGGACCAGAGCTTGCTGGTTCACCGGGATGCGCGTTCACTTGTGTGACTGTGTGAGAGAGCTGTGGACGTGAGAGACCGGAACGGCAGAGCACACTGAATGTGGATCAAAGTGGAGCCTGTCGCTGTGGCTTTGCCGGGCTCAGCGCTGCTAGTACGTTCTCAGTGCTCAGTGCCTCAGTGCTCGGTGCGTTTGCACAGATGGCTCTGGGGTATGGTAGCCGACACTAAGATAAACGTTAATACGTTCTTTTTCAGATTTACCAAGAATTTATCTCCTGACAAGATAAATCTAAGTACCCTTAAAGGAGAAGGTGAATTGAAAAATTTGGAGTTGGATGAAGAGGTACTCCAGAATATGTTGGATTTACCCACATGGCTTGCAATCAACAGAGTTTTTTGTAATAAAGCATCCATTAGGGTAAGAGTTGGATCTCTGTGGAGGGAATTTTATGTTTTCTTTTTTATTTCATATTTTTAATCTCTATCTTTTGAAATAAATACGGTGTTTTAGATAATTCTATAAAGAAACATTAACATAATTTAGAAAGAAAAATATCTGCATAAGTGATTATGATTATATGCCTTTTGAATGTAATTGAAGTCATATGTTAATATTTTAATTTGTAGATTTTAATTTTAAAATTTAATTTTATTAAAATTTTAAGTAAAATTGTCAATTTTTTAGTAGTAAAGTGATTGCTTCATTTCAGCACATATTCAAAGATAGTTTTTATGGGTTTTATTGTCAAATGGGAGTATTTTCTTTCTTCTTTCTTTCTTTCTTTTTTTTTTTTTTTTTTGTCTTTTTGAGACAGAGTCTTAACTACAGTTCAGGTTGCCCTTGAGCTCACTTTGTAGCCCAGGCTGGTCTCAAACTTGCAATGATCCTCCTGCCTCAGCCTCCCAAGTGCTGGGATAACAGGTGTGTGTCACCCTGCCTGGCTGTTAAATTTTTTTATTTACTCCCTAAATCTAATTTTGTGAATTATTTTAGCTTTGACCCCTACATGTCAAATTGTATAGCTTAATTACTCTTAAAGACCAGGCTTACCTTGAGAGTCCGCTTTGTAAAAATACCGCATGCTAATTTTTTTTCGTAAAATTAGTTTGGTTTTCTAAGAAAAGATTATGTAAAATTTCCTATTCCTTTGATGGTCATCTTCCAGTTTGGTTCAATCTTCCATAAATTCAAGTATCTACATGGACTTGACATTTTAGTATTTGAACATTATTTAGTATTGACTATACTTTACATTAGTGGCTTTTTGTATTTGCTTTGCATATCTACAAAAATATTGGTCAGAATTCTAGGAGTATACAAATTGCCAAATGAACAGATTGGTGTTATGTTTTGCTGGAAACTCTTTTATTTCATTTTTATTATTTTATTTTATTATTATTTTATTTATTTGTTGTTTTGAGATGGTCTCACTATGCAGTTCAGGCTGGCCTTCAACTTGCTGTGTAACCCAGGCTGGCCTCAACCTCACAGTGGTCCTCCTGCCTCAGTCTCTGGAATGCTGAGATTACAAGCATGCACCACTATGCCTGGCTCTGGAAACTCTTAAATTATCATATTAAAATGTGTTTAAGGATTGGGAAAATACAATTAAAATAACTTGAAGTTTTTATTTAGATAGTTGAGAAAATCTAGCTGTTCAACTTACTTTGCAATTTAAGAAAGAAGTCAGCTAATAGAATTTGGTGTTTATCACTACCGTGTCAGTTAATTACTGTCTTATATTATTTTTTAATAATTCATTTTAAAGAAAAATATTTATTTGTAGATCCCATGGACAAAACTGAAAACACATCCTATCTGTTTGGTAAGTTCTGAAACCACTTTAGAAATAAGCATACATATGTGCAAATTATCTCGACTCTTCTGTTTCATGGAAATGATTTTCTGGATTTCCTAACCGTTAGCTCCCTTTTATTTTGGTCGGACTTAGTTTTTTTTTTGCCCTTACATGAGAAGTTTGAGTTTCAAAATAAGAGGATACTTAAAGTTTTTTAGGCCTAGAACAGTGATGGTGAGCTTTTAGAGATGTCAGTGGTACAGATAGTCTGCTTTGGCTTGCATGCCGTTTATTTATGTTATTTATTTGTTATTTTGAGATAGGGTCTCACTATGCAGTTCAGGCTGGCCTTCAACTTGCTGTGTAACCCAGGCTGGCCTGGTTTTCTTTTTCTGACATTTGTCTTTTTAAATGTTTAAAGGCATATTTAAAATGACTCTGCTCACTTGCTATGTACTCTGCTCCTGAAGAAATGGAAGTGAAAATAATCTTATACTTCCATAATACACAATAAAATACAAATAAAAACTTCTAGATGCACGAGTCTAGAACATCCTGTTCTAAGTTGGTGCGTTTTATTGTGTCATTTAGCTGTTGTTGTTAGTGGGTTGAAACCAGCTGCAAACACTTGCTAGGCAAGCATCTTACCACTCAAATACATCTCCAGCTCCCTGCCCGCCCCCTGCCTGTACCGGGAATCGAACTCAAGACCTTGCGCTTGCCAGGCAGGCGCCGTGCCGCTGATCTCCAGCTCTTTTTAATTTTAATTTTGAAACAAGTGCTCACAAGTTACCCAGGTGGGACTTGAACTTGTGATCCTCTTGCCTTAGGCCCCCAAGCGATGCAATTACAGGCAAAGTGTGTACAGCTGTGCCCAACTGTGCCATTTAACTCTTTACTGGCATACTGTGGAGTCATTTCTTTAATAACATTTGATCCAGACTTTCTGTGGTTTTGCTCTTACTGATATAATGAACTAAATACTACGTTTCTTTAATTGTACTTCACTTTTTAAGAAAAATTGAAAATAAGTGATCATTTATTGACTCGTTTATTCTGTACATTTGTTTTGTGGCAGTTTGGCGGATTGAACCTAGGGCTGTGAGCATGCTAGGCGGGAGCTACCTGAGCCTCTACTCTGTACCTCACCCTAAAAGTGTTTGTTGAGTACCTGTGTTGTACCCTGAGAAGACTTACAGTTTAATACAGGCTGGCTGAACAAGTAATAACTAAAACAATATAATTTTAGACAATAATAAGTACGTATACGACGTCAGGAATAGTGTAATACTTTGGGGATTAGATACTACACTTGCATGAAATTTGATGATTTTATCAGCCATTGGCTTCTGAATTTTTTTCTCCTATACTCACAGAGTATGCACAACTTTTCTACCAGATAGTGAAGCCTTGAGATAGGGTTGAGTGCTTTGTTTTCCTTTTTTCTGACATTTGTCTTTTCAAATGTTTAAAGGCATATTTAAAATGACTCTGCTCGCTTGCTACGTACTTTGCTCCTGAAGAAATGAAAGTGAAAATAATCTTATACTTCCATAATACACAATAAAATACAAAGTAAAGTAAAATATTTAACAAAATGCTTATATTTTTAACATTTTTATTAGTCTTTAGATAAAGTCATAATGGAGATGAGTACATGTGAAGAACCTCGAGCCCCTAATGGCCCGTCACCAATTGCCACTGCTTCAGGACAAAGGTCAGTCATTCCCACTGTTCTGTCTGACTGGCAAAGGAGGTTTTTGTTTTTGTTTTGTTTCAGCTGTTACCTGTAGCGACAGGACATAAAGAAAATTAAATCTCTTAATCTCAGTCTCTTCCATCAAACATTTTACAGGTTTAATTTTATACATTACAAAAGTAGCAGAGATCTTTAGAAGGTTTTTTTTTTTTTTTTTTTTACTGGGAATTGAACTCAGCACCTTGTGCTTACCAGGCAGGTGGTGTGCCACTGAGCTGTCTCCTTGGCCCTAGACTCTTCCATTCACCTTTGTTTCTTTACTATCAAGTAGTAATGACTAACCAAATAATAATTAACCATGGTAACAGCAGAAAATGGAGACAGGAGTTTAGGCATTCTATGAATCAGATAATCTCTTAGTTTCTGAATATAGTAGTTCTCTCTTAACTATTGGTTCACTATCTATGACTTCAGTTACCTGTGGTCACCTGCAGCTCAAAAATACTACATGGGAAATTCCAGAAATAATTCATTAAATTTAAATTTTCATGATATGAGTAGAATGAAACCTTGAGCTATCCAACTAGAAATGGAAATCATGCTTTTGTTCAATGTATCTGCGCTGTATAGGCTACCTGCCTGTTAGTCACTTAGTAGCTGTCTGAGTTATCAGATTGACCATCTGGGTATCACAGTGCTAGGTTCAAGTAAACTTCACAGAGAGTGGTGTGAATGTTAAGTCACCATACCTAAGTTGCCTGCCTCCCTTAATCTCATCGTGTAGGCATTATTTCATCTCACATCATCAAAAAAAGATGAGTACACTAGAGTAAGATACTGTTCTGTTTTAATATTGTTAATATGATGTGTGATCAAAATTATTCAATTTTTAAAAATTATTACAGTAAAACACATTAATCTCCCTCAAAATACTTCTTACCTCAAATAGTTATCATTCTTGCCACTTTCTTAAGCAGTTCTGAAAGTTCTCCTTTATGGGTGTCTTTAGTTATGCTGTTGTGTCTGCCTTGATGTCCTGAACTGATTCAGAACATTTACCTTTTATAATCATTTTGCGTTAAGGAAGAGCCAGAACGTGCATAGCTTGAAATTTGGTGAATAAGGTGGACAAGGACCTACCTTAATGTTTTTACAAGCCTGCCTACCTACCTTCCTGCCTGCCTTCCTCCCTCCCTCCCTTCCTTCGTTTTGTTTTTTTGAGACAGAGTCTCACTCTGTAGCCCGGGCCGGCCTTGAACTCACGTAGATCCTCCTGCCTTAGCCTCCTGAGGGCTGGGAATACAGATGTCTGCCACCATGCCTGGCAAAGCCTGCCTTTCTATTGGATGGTACTTGGCAGCAACATAGACCATATTTTTGATCACACTTCATAAAGACACCTGCAATTCATCTTTCTGGTTGCACTTAATGACGTGACTGGGAAGTGTGGGCTGCAGCCACTGACTTAGTTTCCTCCTCTGAATTGCAGGCTCTCCATGGTGAATAAAACATTCATTCATTTATTGTTGGTGCTGGGTATTAAAGTGCATGCTGGGCATGCTCCTTCTCACTGAGCTACATACACTCCCAGCCTGAGCTGTGTGCATTTAAAATATTACAGTCTAGGCTGGTGGTGTACCTCAGTGACAGGCACATGCTTGGCATATGTAAAGGTCCTGGGTTCAATCCTTGTGCACACACACACATACACACATGCACACACACATGCACACACACACCAAATACAGTTGATTTTTTTCAAGAGATTCCCACATTATTATAGCAATATTCTTCCCAACTCCAGGAATATTTCTATCTTAAGTAATGAGTATTTGTCCTTGGGATTAAAGCGGCCCTACTCTAGGATGCTGATGAGCTCTTGCTCTTTATTTCTCAGTTTTCTAAATGCTGAGTAACTGGCTACTTTGTTTTATAACAAAAGTACCTAACGCAAGCAAAAGAACATGTAAATTACTATACATAGATCATTTCACTTAAGGATAACAGCAACTTTTTGAGGCAGATATTTTTATACATGAAGAAATTGAGGCTCAGAGACTTTTAATAATTTAGTAATAAATTATTACTTTTAATAATGGTTATATTATATAAAGTATTATAAGCTGATAGTCTATTTGGCTAGGCACTATTTCATGTGATTTACATATAAAGTACTGCCTTATTTATTTATTTATTTATTTATTTTTGTTTGTTTGTTTTTGTTTTTCTCCGGTACCGGGAACCGAACTCACGACCCTGCGCTTGCCAGGCAGGCGCTTTTGCCGCTGAGCTAAATCCCCAGCCCCATTACTGCCTTATTTAAAAGATGAGTCATCTATCCAGGCCCGTCTAGACAGATGCACACCTGTAGTCACAGGGGCTGAGGCAGGAGGATCATTTGAGCCCACAAATTTGAGAACAACCTGGGAAACATAGTTAGACCTTATCTCAAAAAGAAAAAAAGAGAAAGATAAGAGTCTCTGCTATTTGTAAACTTAACAATAACAACAACAACAACAACAAAATGAGTTATCTGAGGCTTAGAAATTAAATTTATTCATTAACATAGTAGATGAGAAGAGCAGAGCAGGTGTGGGGAGGAGTGTGGATAACAGATTTACTTTCAGGCATGTTGTGAGAGGCACTCAGATGGAGATGCCTGGTGGACATTTCAGTTTTACAGCCTGAAGTCCCAGCAAGAGATCTGGATAGAGACAAAAACCTATAAATGATGAGCATATTGATGGTGATAGGGCAAGTGAGTTCATCGAGAAAGGCACTCACAAGAAAACCAAAAGGGCAGGAACAAACAAAACTTTATTAAGCCGGCTGACAGACAGTCTCTTAACCAGGAGACAGAGAAGATGTCTGCACCGATATGAGTCTCACCTTTGGTTTAAGTACATTTTAGGTTTTCATAGTAACCATTACCTCATTTTTGGGAATCTTACAAGAATGTCACACAATTATCACAAAGTTTACATTTCCCAGCAGGTCAGACAGCCAAATTTTAAATGACCATTACAGTTTAACTTTTAGCCTACTTTCCAATCTGTCCAGTTTGTTTTGTTCCCACTTTATGACTGTTCTAAGTGAGTTGATAACTAACCAAGGCGAGTAGGGGTCAACTACAGCTTAAGTGAACTTTAAGTGACTTTTCTTTACATGGAGTTAAAAACAAAAAATGGAGTCTCTCTTGCCCTATCAGTGGGAGTTGAAGTAATATGCATTTGGGCAAACTTCTTCTAGCCCTTCTTGGCAATATGTATTGATAGATACTGTAATAATTTATTCTTGACCTGTGAGCTCTACTTTCCTGCCTCTCTGTGCCTTTGCTCATGCTTTCCCCTCTTGTAAGATTTTCCTGTCTTTGCCCTTCTTTCTGTGGAGAAATGTGTCTCCCCAGTTATAAAGCAGTTTTTTCCCTCCCATCAAGAATTCTGTTGATTCCTTTTTTAAAGTTCTTGATTACAGATTCTCTCAGGTTGCATTTAGCAGGATTTTTGTTTTTTTCCTCCCCAAATAACTTGTGATCCCTGTAATGGTACCACCAAATTTTGTTTTTTTTCATATCTCAGTGTTATTTTGCGGGATAATTCAGTATGTTTTGAACTGAATTAGAGAATGTGAATTTTTTCTGTTCTTAAATTATGACATTTCAAATGGACTTTTTAACCTTTGTGTTAAAAATTTATCTTTCTTATTTGCTTTGTAGATATTAATTGTCGGAGGCTTTTTGAGAGTAAACAACTGTGGACATTGATTTAAATAGAAATTAATTTCTAATTTTTTAAGTCTTTTACAACTTGATAACTTTTTTGTGGGGGCAATGCTAGGTATTCAGCTCAGGGGCTCTCATATGCTAAGCAAGTGCTCCACCACTAAATACATCTGCAGCCTTTTTTAATTTTGTTTTTTGAGACAACTCTTCCTAATTGCCCAGGCTGGCCTCGAACTTGCGACCCTACTGCCTCAGTTCTCCCAATTCCTGGGATTACAAGGGTGTGCCACCACACATAACAAGAATATTTTTATAAATTAACATATAATCAGTCTATCATTTCTTTTTTTTTTTGGTTTTTCTCCGGTACCGGGAACCAAACTCATGACCTTGCGCTTGCCAGGCAGGCGCTTTTGCCGCTGAGCTAAATCCCCAGCCCCTCAGTCTATCATTTCAACAAATTTGTACTTAAAAAAGTAATAAAATAGTAAAGCAGTTTATATATATGTTTGTGTGAGAATATTAACAAATAACTTTTAATATTTTTGTTGGCTTTAGTACATTGTGTTTTGTTTTGCTTTTGTTTTTCCAGTGAATATGGCTTTGCTGAAAAAGTAGTTGAGGGAATTACTGTTTCTGTAAATTCTATTGTCATCAGAATTGGAGCAAAAGCTTTCAATGCATCTTTTGAACTTTCTCACCTGCGGATCTATAGTGTCAATGCAAACTGGGAGCACGGAGATTTAAGGTTTACTCGTATTCAGGATCCACAGAGAGGAGAAGTAAAGATTTTTTTTTTTCTTTTTAAAGCTTTTAATGATAAGTAAAACAAACATGTTTAAAATTATTTAAATGCTTTTTGGTCACATGACCGAAGTGTTTTTAATACTTAGAATAAAAGTATTAACAGTTTGAAAAATGATGAATATAATTGGTTTTTTTGATGAATATAATTGTTAAGATGTGTTACTGAATCTAATGGAAATTTTAAATTTAAAGGCTGAATGATGAATATTTTTAGAATGTTATGAAAGTTAGTTGAGAAGATAGTTTTTGTTTTTGTAAATCTACATTTTTATCATTTTAATTTACATTTTATTTTTTATCATTTTAATTTACATTTTATTTTATATGAGTATGTGATACTAATCTCCATGTTCTCTTAGGTTTTGACATTTAAAGAAATAAATTGGCAGATGATTCGAATAGAGGCAGATGCTACCCAAAGTTCACATCTTGAAATTATGAGTGCTCCTGTTCGATTAATAACCAACCAATCAAAAATCAGAGTCACACTTAAAAGAAGAGTAAGTCAACTTGACTTTTTCATTCATTTGTTAACTTTTAGAATTGCTAAGAAATTTTAAATAACTTTTTAGGTGAAATATTAGCATATTATGAGTGGCATATTAAAATAATACAGAATAAAAGGAAATTAATATCTTAAGCAATATTTGTAGAAAGCCAATGTAATTATGATTCTTCCATTTTTCTGATTCAATATTTACATTTTAAAAAATTTTTATTTCTGATAAACAGAATAGATTCCTCAGTTGCCCAGTAGTTACTGAACACTTGCTGTCTTCTTTTTTTTTTTTTTTTTTTGGTTTTTCTCCGGTACTGGGAACCGAACTCACGACGTTGCACTTGCCAGGCAGGCGCTTTTGCCGCTGAGCTAAGTCCCCAGCCCCTACTTACTGTCTTCTAATTTCATTTCTGGGGCTGGGAGAGTAGCTCAGTGGTAGAGTGCTGGGTAGCATATGCAAAGCCCTCTGTTCAATCCCCAGCACTGCCCAGAAAACCCCCCTAAACCAAACGAAACGAAACCAAACCAAACCAAACCAAAACAAAACAAAAACTCAGAAGAAAAGTAATTTCATTTCTGCTTTTGAATTTTGCTTAAGAACAAGTAAACAGCTGGGCGTGGTGCACACCTGTAATCCCAGCACTTGGAAGGCTGAGGCAGGGGGATTGTTGCGAGTTCGAGACCAGCCTGGGCTACAAAGTGAGCTCAAGGCCAGCCTGGACTGCATAGAAAGACCCTGTCTCAAAAAGACAAAAATAAATAAATAAATAAATAATTAAATAAACAAATAGCCTTTATAATTAGTAATGTACATCCTTAGCATTAGTAGGTAACTTAAATATGACTAGTAATTTAGTTAAATTGAAATCATGATTAGTTAAAGGTATCACTATTTGAGAGATTCACTATGGCTTTGATAAAATTTAATGAGGAAGTAATGATAGTTTTTAACCAAGGGTCAACTAAAGATTCAACAAAAAGCTTTTTGTATTAGTAGGTACAAATAACTATAAAATAGGAAAAAAATGTTTTTGTTTATAGTGCTTAACTTTTTTTGTCTGTAGTGCTGAAATGTGGATAAAGTAGCAGTTTTAGATTTTAATTAATTTCAGAGATCCTTTCTCTGCCAGAATTAGTTAAATTAATATGGATAATTTTATGATTTGTCAGCTATTAATGCAAAATTATGTAAGTGCTATGTAACCTGTGCTTCTTAAGGTACAGGATTTGTCAGTTTTGTATTGCTGCTGTTATCTCAATACTGGGAGATAATCCTTCTCTATTGTAGAAATTCAATAAATATTTGTTGAATGAAACTATCCTTATTTAATTCTGTTAAAAAACTTTTAGCTTTTATATAAATGCAAATGCATTATAGTTTTATTTTTGACATAATTTTATAACCATTTTTTCCGACAGTTAAAAGACTGCAATGTCGTAGCAACAAAGTTAGTTCTAATATTGGATGACTTATTATGGGTTTTAACGGATTCACAGCTGAAAGCTATGGTACAATATGCAAAATCTCTTAGTGAAGCAATAGAAAAATCAACAGAACAAAGGAAGAGTCTGGCTCCTGAACCCACACAGGTAGGCTATAAATGAGAGGAAAAAAACTTACTTTTTGGATAGTTTAAAAACCAGAGTGATTAGTTGTTTTCTTCATGTGAAATTAATTATAAGACTGAGACAAAAAATTTTCTTTATGTAGGTATCTTACTGTACAATTATAGGTACTTGATATCTATATGAAAAAATTACATATTTAATATGTATCTATATAATGCTCACTTTGTTCAGAGTTCTGTACTAAGGACTAGTTATTGATGACATAAAAGTATTTGATGTTATAATACATCTTTTCAGGAAGCTCAAAAATACAATTTTAAAAATTCTGAAGTAAAAGGAAATCTGAATGACACCAAGGTAATTGTAGGCATGAGCGAGCGTGTTGAGAATTGGTAGCACGGAGAACTAAAACCATAGGGAATTGCTGAAACTGAAAACAAAACTTTTGTTAAGAGTTTTCTAATGGCTGGGGCAAAAAACCAGGGAAACATAGTGAGCTATTATTACCACTTTTTAAAAATCAGAAGCATTACTGGTTTGTCTAAAAAATGTTCGCTAGTCTTTCTCAGTATTAATTTCTTAGTACTAATATGTGAAGATTTTTGCAGAAGGGACATGGAAAACCCTAGTGGGTCTTTGATAATTTTATTGAAAGTACAAGTAAATTTCTTATATCTACCGCTAATAAAAACTTATTGGATATTGTAAAATCATACTTCAGTGAAGCTTTTCTTTTGTAAACAATAATCATCTCAGGTACATAGGATGTTGTGATCTATCTGGCTTGGTACATGGAGTGGCATACATTTTAAACTTTTCATGGCTATCATTGGCTTTCATTGGTATTGTTCACTGCCAGCCTGTTATGTCATAAGGCACAGGGGTACACACTTTAAATTAAAAATAAGTATCATCTGACCCTATTTTTAGGGACCTCAAAATGTAATGGAAAGTGAATATAGAACAAATACTATAGTTCAATGTAAATATGGGAGTAAAGAAATAAAGGAGGGGGTGTGCAGGAGCTATAGAAGCACAGAAAAGTTTTAATTAATTGTTTGCAGAGTCTGGAAAGCTTTTACAAAGAGAACAATGAGATTATGACTTAAAAATGAGTAGCACTTTACAGGCAGTCATGAAGGAAAGGATTTCAGAAGAAATAGAATTTGCAAAAGATGGTACTGTTAAAGAACATGGGATTTTTCTGATAAAGATAAGGAGGTTTGGTGTTATGGGGGATATATTACAACTTTCCAAGTTGTGCATTTTGAGAGCAAGTTGTACAACTTCAATTTGATAGGTGCTTTTTGTTAAACTTGATCTGAGATGTACTTGCCTTAGATAGCACACTATCTAAGTACGGTCCTTCTTCCGTACTGCTCTTGTTCTACTTCACAAACAAAAACCGTTCGTACTCATCTGGGTCTGTAATGGATTTGTCTGGGGAGAGCAAACACTCTGGGAATAAGAGGCAATTTGAAGTATGGCTGTTCATGCTGGAAATTAATGACTGATGACAATAACAAGTGATTTCCTTTTCTTTGTTTTGAACCCATCTAAAGGAGAATCTCCTAATTATCAGCAGCTAAATTATTAGGAATAATTTTATATAATAGGCCACATTGTGAGTCCTAGCATGTAACTTGAAGGAGTTTAAAGAATTGAGTCCCGTTGCTTACAAAGTCCTTTCTTTCAGTCTACCTATTTAAGTGAGCAAGGCTTTCCTGAGCTTATTGTCATAAAAACAACTAAGTGCTGTAGTTAGGTGTATCCCCCATGGACAAGGAGGGCTACTGCAGTGCGAGTGCTACCCTGGGCGTGAACACCAGTCTGTTCAGGCTTTGAAAATAGATGCGGAAACACACGAGAAAGTAATTTTTCTGATTGGAATCAGTTTAACTGTTAATTAAGTTTTGTGTAAGCCCCTAGAACTTGAAAGTCTCGTGGCTTATCCCAATTTTCCAGTGTTTTAAACTCCTGTAGACCCTGTTCTTTTTCACTGAGAAATTCTCACTAATACACTTTGCAATACATTTATAGTATGATTGTGGTTCTTAATAGCTATAATATGTGAAAATATACATAAAGTACATATACTTTGGTTTCCATAAATATATTTTATTATTATATTGCTTTAACTTTGAAAGTTGTTAGTTTTTTTAAAGTGGAATATTGGTCTTCATTTTGATTTTTGTTTTTGTTTTTTTTTGAGGCAGGGTCTTGCTATATAGTTCAGACTGGCCTTGAACTCACTTTGTAGCCCAGACTGGCCTGCAGTTCAGCAATCCTCCTGCCGCAGTCTCCCAAGTCCTGGGATTACAGGCATGCGCCACTATGCCCAACCATTTTGATAATTATTACAAAAGTTTCAGGTTTAGTTTTGTGGCTGATATGTCCTTATCTCACAGCATACTTATGTATATATGCAGGAGCATACTTACATAATCATCTTAGGCTATCAAAGGTTCATCTGTGTCTTTACACTTCAACAACATTCTGTGCCGTTTCTTTCTTGGGAGGAAAATATTTGAACTCAAAACCTATTTATCTTTTTTGCTTTCTGGTTTCTTCAGCTGTCTAAATTCAGAAGATACATCTCTTTTGAGAAGCAAAAGGCCACTTACAGAATCAATATCCAAAAAGCTTTTACAAAGCCATGATTATTTTGTACAGGACATGTCACAGTGTATACAGGGCTTACAGTTATTTTCTTTTTAGTGTTTAGAACTAATATTCAGATACACTACCTTTAATATTAATAGCTATAGCCTGGCATTGTGATGCACACCTGTAATCCCAGCACTCAGGAGGCTGAGGCAGGAGGATCATTGCAAGTTTGAGTCCAGCCTGGACTGCAAAGTGAGGTCAAGGCCAGCCTGAACTGCATAGTGAGACTCCATATCAAAAAGACCCCCCCCCCAAAAAAAAAAGAATAGCTGTATTTTCTGAAATACGGGCCATAAATATGGTAATGTAACTACTCAGATATATGTGATGTTTACTGAAACATCAGATTCACATTCAAATTGTATATAATTGTCCAGTTTTAAAATTTTAGATTTATTATATAATTCAGAAAATATTATAGAGAAAAGCTGAGTTATTGATACAAAAATGTATTTGCTAATTTTTATGACTTTATTACTAAAAACGTGTAGGTGTGCTTGTATGTGAAAGTTCCCATGTGTAACCTGCAGTGGTAATGTGGTTTTGGATGTTCTAGAGCTCTGCAGTTACTCCCTCTACTCAGCAAGTGAAGACGCCACAGACTTCCAATGCTCCTGATCTTAATGATGCAATTGTGAAGCTGTTCAATGACTTTGATGTGAAAGAAACCTCCCATCATTTAGTGATTTCTCATCTGGATCTACACATATGTGATGATATTCATGCAAAAGAAAAAGGTATTAAAGGTTTATGCTAAACTCTTTTGGGCTTTTCCAGAATTGACTACAGAACTGAATTATTTATATATGTTACTACGTGCAGTATTGTATAACTTACGATAATTTTTTCTTTCATATGAATACATGTGTAGAATTTATAATTTGAAGCATTATATATTGGTATAAAATTTTACTTTGCTGAAATAATTAGCACTTAAGCTTATTACCTAATTATTACCTATCAGCGCTAACAGTATAATTAAGTTTAAAAAAACACTCAAAGACAGTGGCTTCAGATGTAGCTCAGTAGCAGGGTGCTTCCTCATGTGCGAAATTCTGGGTTCGATCCTCAGCACTTCAAAAAATAAAGAGGCATAGACTAAATAGATGACTCTCTTGGGTAAAATATTAGTCTTGTCTTTGAATTAACTTTTTCAAAAATTTGAAATTATTCATAAATTAAATTTTGGCCTGAACTCTTCATAATGACTCACTTGTTTTCAGCATTGTGGTTAATCTGCCTATTTCTAGATCTATGAACGCATAAACACAACTGAGGGGCTCCTTAACATTGTTTCCCCTTGACTCATCCTCGCAGAATTTGGGTAGGCGGCTAAGTTCCAGCTTGAAATTTTATTTTATTTTTTTTTAATTTTTGTTCCTCTTGTTTATCCTTACTTAATAGTCTCAGATTATCAGGCTAACCAGGAAGCTACTCCTGGTTACTTTAAAATTCTGTGGTTCCAGGATAGAGGATGCAGAAACAACCCCAGGCATACTCAGCTATCTGATCTTTGACAGAGGGGCCAGATATACACTGGAAGGAAGATAGACTGTTTAATTAGTGGTGCTGGGAAGACCGGCTTTCCACATGCCGAAGGTTGAATCAAGACCCTTATCTCCCACCATGTACTAAACTAAATTCAAAGTGGATCAAAGATCTAAATATTAAAACAGAAACAATCACTGGATGATAAAATAGGTAAAACTCTTGAAGACATAGACTTAAGCAAGGACTTTCTGAATAAAACCCAATTGCACAGGAAATAGCATCAAATTAAAATGCTTCTGCACATTAAAAGAAACAACCAAGAAAGTGAAGAGACAACATAGTATGGGAAAATTTTTTTTACCAGGTATTCTTCAGACAGAGGACTAATAATAGAATAAATAAAGAACTAAAAAATTAGACCCCCCCCCAAAATAAAAGACTCAATCAAATGGTAGGTTACGGCAATGAGTAGACACTTCTCAGAAGAAATAGTACAAATGGCCAATAAATACATGAAAAAATGTTCAACATCTCTGTCCATTAAAAAAGTACAAATTAAAATAACGCTGAGATTCCACCTTACTTTGTAAAGAATGGCTATCGAGAAATCAAATAATATCCAAGTGTGGTGATGTATGCCTATAATCCCAGGACTCACAAGGCTAAAGGAGGAGGATCACTGTGAGTTCGAGGCCAGCCTGGGCTACATAGTGTGACCTTGTCTTAAAAAAAAAAATGAAGTAATAACAAATTCTGGTGAGGCTGTAGTGAGCAGAGGGGAGAAGAACCCTTTTACATGGTTGGTGGTAATCTAAATGGTACAGCTGCTATGGAAATCAGTACGGAGATTTCTCTTAAACCTAAAACTAGAAATTCTGCTTGACCTAGCCATTCCCCTTCTAAGTAACTTCCTAAAAGAGTTAAAGATTTCATTATAGCGATCCATGCATATCTGTGTGTACAGCAGCACAGTACCTCACAGCTAAATCTTGAAACAGCCTGTATGTTCATCAACAGGTGAAAGGGTAAAGAAAATATACTCACACACAGTGGAGTACTACTGTGCCATAAAGAAGGACTAACATGAGGCATTTGTAGGAAAATGAATCCACTTCAAGACCATAATGTTAAGTGAAATAAGGCTGACGCACAGGTTTAAATATTTCCTAATTTCTGTTATATGAGAAACCCAAAATATAAATTAAAAGCAAAGGAAGAGATAATAGGAAATAGGGAGGTAGATCTTTTGCAAGAGAGAAGAGAGTCAAGAGATGGAGGATGTGGGCAGGAACCGGAGGGAGAGGGAATGAAGAAAGAATGAAGATGTGTTATGTACGTGTAGCAAGTCCCCATGAGGCATGTAAACATAGACATGCTCTAATGAGAATAAACATTTACAGTAGAAGTTGCATTTATGGGTTAAAGAGTAAGGGGTTACAGCTAAAGAGAAACTTCTTAAACTTGACACTGAAATTGAATGAGTTTCATAGATTGTAAGATTGTAAGTAAATAAAGAGAAGTTGAAGTACAGGAAATAAAAGCCTGTAGTTCCATCCTGTAAGTGCTGGGCGTTTCTGAAGTGGGGCTGCAGTGTGCTGTGGTGCGGGCGTGGGAGGGCAGCTGTACCTTGAGAACTTCGGTGAGCATTAGCATCAAGCTAGAGTCGGGATCTTGGAAGAATAAAGATATTTGACGTGAGTACCTTAGACCTGGTCAGAATCCACATATACTCATGAATGCTACTGCTCTGACTTCCTTTAAATGAGTGTTGGATCCTGGACTTTAGCAGTAGACGTGGCCCTGCCCTCATCAGCCAGTAGCCAGGAGCCTGCTGCCCTGCGGAGGGCGAGGCACAGAGGTGACGGTCCGGGCTCTGCACAGGGGTTTGCTGCTGTCTCCTGCTTGATACACTTCGTGTCATTTAACTGAGTTCTTACCTTCGGCTTTAGTCATTCCAGAGGACAAGCCCAAGAAGTTAGACCAAACCAAAGTAACAAAGTTAAGTAATAGTGTTTTTATTTATTTATTTTTATTTTAAAAAGAATGAAAAATAATAAAAAAAAAAATTAGAAACGATACAGCATTTCGAAACACAAGGTCTAAGCATTTTTATGTAGGAAGTATTTTCTGATCTCTTTTCCAGTCCTCACAGTTTATTATTCCCTCATGGGGTAGCTGGATGGTTTTACGGGGAGAAATCCCTCTCCGCCAAAGTACCTCCCACAGTGTGGAGGTTATACTCACTTCTGCTGTTCTGAAATAGACAAGGTTGTGAAATGTCTCCTAAGTTCATGCGCAACTCGTTTGGTAGCGAAACCTGACTCGATGAACACATTATTATTGTCTTCTTTTGCCCACTTAGTATAAATACTTACACATTTTTCTACAGAGTGGTTGTATTTCATTACTTAGTACTGTCTCAGAAACTGCTTGGAGTTAATGTACTTTAAAAATACCATATTAATGTCATTCAATCTGAAACATTCCAAATTTTGAAACAATTAGCTCCAAAGGTTTTAGATAAGAGATTGTAGATAAATTGGAGTTAACAAATTAGGAGTATAAGAGTATATATGTAGCTATATTTTAGTTTGTATTTATCTCTAGTTGACTTGCCCAGGCTATTTTAAAGTTTGATTTTTATGTTTTAGTTAAAATGATTTGTGGTCTACCCTTTGATCTTACTGTATCTATGTAACCTTAGACAATTTACCTAACCAAGTAGATTCAGTGTCCTCTTTGGTAAGAGGCAGCGTGATGAAGTGGTTAAGATTTTCTGGGTTTAAATCCCAGCTCTAAACTTAAATAGCTTCTGTTTGTTTTTTGTTTATTTTAGTCCACTATGTAGCAAGTGTTAGGGACTCAGAAAGTACTTATTAGATTGAATTGTATATCCTAAAATCTTGACGTGTATTATATGTGAGAAGAGACAGTTACTACTACTTGGGCTGTAATTGTGATAAATATTTTTATGGTAAAAATATAAACCCAGTTGTTTAATTTTTGTTTCCCTCAATTCCCATCTTTTTTTTTTTTCCTAGAGTCAAACAGACGTATCACTGGAGGTGCTATGCAACTGTCTTTTACATACCTAACTATAGATTATTATCCTTACCATAAAGCAGGTGTGTATAACCATTTCTTTAAAATATGCAAACCTTCCTTAAAGTTTTATAGACAATTTTTAATTGTTTGTTTTAATTTAATTTATTAAAGATGGAAGAGATCAAGAGATCTTTACTACTTTTCTTCTGGCCATGGTTGTATTTTTAAACCAAGAAAATAGAAGTGCCATGGGAAATATTCATACATTTTCCATGGATGTTCGTTTAGAGTGTTAGAAACTGTGTTAGAAACTTACAATTTTCTTAATAACTAATAAAACTTCTTAACAATCCAAATATAGCCGACCTGTATTTGTGCTATTTTGTTAGTTACAAAAGCAAATTATTAGTCATTATTCTGGAAATTTAAATGATATAATTATATAAGTTATGTGTATGATTTAGGAACCTGTTTTTCATTTTTCTATATTTTCTAAATTTTATCACTAAGTAAGACTTAATACATTCTTTAATCATCAGGATTTGACAAGTTCTTTTTTTCCAAGTAATAAAAACAAAGAAATGTGATTATTTACTGCCAAATCAGGTAATTTAACCTTAAACCTTTCTCTGCCTTTTGGTAGTTAGTGTATGGCTTATTTTTATGACTTACACAGGAACAAAAGTCAAAAAGTTATAGTGGATTTTCTGAGAGTTGAATGATTATATTCTTGTTTCCACCTATCAGTGTTCATCATTTCTCTATTAGTCTCTGACAGAATTTATAGGTTGTAAGATTTGTTTTAGTTTTCTTTGTGTTTGTGTTTGGTTTTTTGAGATGGGGTTTCGTTAAACACTTTCGGCTGCCCTAGAACTCCCTGTGTAGCCTAGGATGGCCTCAAACTCAGAGTAATCCTCCTGCCTCAGGCTCCTGAGCCCTGAGGATATAGGCATGTGCCATCATGCCCTGTTTGGTTTTCTTTTGAAGGGCTTTGTTTTATATCCTGTCCTGATTAGTAAGTTAGTTACATATACTTAACATCTTTTTTATTTTAGTTTTTATTTTTTTGTCTTTTTGAGACTGGGTTTTGCTATGCAGTTCAGGCTGACCTTGAACTCATTTTGTAGCCCAGGCTGGCCTCAAACTTGCAGCGATCTTCCAGCCTCAGCCTCCCGAGTGCTGGAATTACAGGTGTGTGCCACCATGCCCAGCACATCTTAAAATTTTAAAATGTAGAAATAGTTCATACTTTAGATAGTACTTTGATTTACAGAGTATATTTTATCCTTCCTCCTCTCCCTCCCTTCCTCCCTTCTTCCCTTCCTTCCTTTCTTCCTTTTTTGTAGTACTGGGGATTGAATTCAGGAATGTTGCACTAAACTCTGCTGCTAGCACTTTTCAAATTTTTATTTTGAGACAGTCTTATTAAGTCAGTAAGTTGCCCAGAGTGGGCTCTAATTTGTAATATTCCTGCCTCAGCTTCCCAGAATGCTGGGATTACAGATGTGCACCACCACTCCCAGCTGGGTTTATTTGCTTCACCTTTTTTTTTGTTTTGTTTTTTTTCGGGTACCGGGACTCAAACTCACGACCTTGCGCTTGCCAGGCAGGCGCTGTGCCACTGAGCTACATCCCCAGCCCCTGCTTCACCTTTTTACGTACCTATTTCTTTTCTTAGTTATAAAGAAACCTAAGAATCTTGATTTTGTATTTTCCTTTCCAAAACACACAGATGTCCTTATAACTACATTGAGAAATTTATTGGTTTCTTACATTGATTAAAAAATAATCGTTTATCAGTTTTGTGCAGCAGATTATTGCTAGTCACTTTACAACAAATCATCGATGAAAATAACTTTTTGTGGATAGTATTTCCGGGATTCTCTCCAGTGGACGTTTGCCAGGCGTTTGCGCACACGGTCCTGTGGCTTTGAATCACAATGTGAGCACTGCTCTACCACGGATGAGTTCTCAGTAGAAACCTCTCCAGAGTGTTTCCCTCAGCAGCTCTTTCCCTCCGTTCTAGGAGTCTTGTATTTTAGGGAAGTCGCTGGGGGCAGCTGTAATTGTTTTGGATGATTAAAGACTACCCTGAGAAAGTGACTAAAATTCATTAGGAGCATGACTATGATATGATAAATGAAAACCGTGCATTTTTAGTGAACTAGCTGTTACTCGTTTTACAGGAGATAGTTGTAATCATTGGATGTATTTTAGTGATGCAACCAAAACGAAAACTGGATGGGCCAGTGAGTTGTTACATGAATTTGAGTGCAACGTTGAAATGCTTAAACAGGCTGTGAAGGATCATAAAGTAGGCTCCCCACCTAAATCCCCGACACACGGCTCTCCCCAGCACACACAAACAGGTATTTTATGGCATTCCCCTAATACTATAGCTATGTTTGTGCATGTGTCTGTGTGCATGAGTGTGTATGTGTGCATGTATGTGATTATATTTTCCGTAATCAAGATATCTTGCAGCTTTCATTTAGACCAATGTAGGCCTATAGACCAAAGCACTTTTAAGATTAATATAACCAATGAAAGAACAGGTAGTTTTTCAGACTCTTAAATACCTGGTAGCTCTCTCATTTTTAACATTGTAGGGGAGTGAATAAAGGTGGTAGGAGTGTGATTATAGTGAAAATGAATAATCGTCACAAAAACTTACATTTCTGTATTGCTTTATAAAGTATTTTTACGTATTGTTTGAGAAATTAGTGTTCATTTATATTTCTGTAGCTGTCTTAATAAGAAAGCGACTATTAAGAAGAATTCTGTAATACACTAAAAGGAGTTTTTGTTCCCACAGAGAAGGAGTCTGCTCTGAAAGGGACCTCCAGAATGTCTGCAGTGTTACCTCAGCCGTCAAAAGCTAAGCTGATGTCCAGCTCTGTTGTGGTTAGACTTGCAGATTTCAATATATACCAGGTGTGTTTTAGTTTTTAATTTAAGTTTAACACTTTTGGTATCTCATACAAGCTACTGTACTAACTAAGCCACTATTTTATTTAAAAGCATCATGACCAGTTGTATGAAAAGACCAAATTAAATGGGATAGAAAATGTCAGTTTATTATTTTTTCTTTATGTGGTTATCCAGAATTAGCCAAACTGTGAAGTCAACAGGTTGATATTTTAGACTGCCAGCTCTGTCCAGGACTTCTGGTAACAGTTACAAGTTCACTTTCAAGCATGTCCTAAAATTACCCTCAGGTTAAATAATTTACGAAAAGACTCACAGAACTCACTAAGATGTGTTGTAATCACAGTCACTTTATTATAGGGGAAGGGTATAAAGTAGAACCAGCCATAAGAAGAGATACGTAGGGCAGAGTCTGGAAGGTTCTGTATTTGAAACTTGCTTGTCCTTAGAACATGCCCAGTAGGGATGGATGTTGAACAGCATTCATAAAGTATTACCTGTGCAGTTAAACTCAGTCTCAAGACTGATGGAGATGACCCAGGGTCGCCTTTTCCCCTGAAACACAAGACTTATCAGGTATGGCCAGCCCCTCCCAGAGTCATGTTGTTAGCATAAACTATCAGTTTCCAGTGCAAATAGGAAACCAGAATTCTTGGTTATGTCTTGGGACAGGGACAAAGGCCAGAACTCTGTTCAAAGACCAAATTCTCTCCCCTCCCCTCCTTTCCCCACCCCCTTCCCTCCCCCTCCTCTCCCTTTTTTGAGATTGGTCCTGCTATGTGGGTCAGGCCCTCCTTGAACTCACTGTGTAGTTCTGGGTGACCTCTTCCTGCTTCACCCTCCTGAGTGCTGGGATCACAGGTGTGTACCACCACGCCTGGCTTTAGAGACCAAATTTCTTAGTAAATAGTGTGCTATTTGGAAGAAACAGAAATGCCTTTTTCACTTTACTTAACTAGTAAGTACTATATTGTCTATACTGTGAACCTAATAGCTAAGAACTCTGCCCCTTATACTAATACTTTTTCTTTTTTTTTGGAGACAGTGTCTCACTATTAGTGCAGGCTGGCCTTGTACTTGCTTATGTAGCTCAGGCTGGCCTCAAACTCACAGTAATCCTCCTACCTCAGCTTCTAGAGTGCTGGGATTACAGGTGTGCACCACCACACCTATACTAACGCTTTTATTTATAACATGACCGAATATCACAAACCTTGAAATCATCTGTATAGAATATAAGGCCTGTTTTTAAAATTAACAATGGATAAAGAAATGTGGTATTTATGCACAACGGAGTACTACTGTGCCATAAAGAAGGATAAATTTGAGTCATTTGTAGGAAAATAAGTGCATTTTTGAGATCATAATGCTAAGTGAAATAAATCAGACACACAAGCTTAAATATTACACTATGTCTCTTCTATGAGAAACCAAAACTATAAATAAAGTGCAAAATGAAAGATGCCTGCTAGGAAGTGGGGAGAGAGACGGTTTGCAGAAGGGAAGTAGGCCGAGAGAGGGCGGGAGCAGGAAGGGAAGGTAGGGGAGGGGGATGGGAAAGAACGAAGACGTGCCCATGCACCAACTCTGCCCAAGGGATGGAGTCTTGTACTGCAAATGTACTAATGAAAAGTAAAAACTGAAAAAACAAAAAACAAGAATAACCAAGTTTAGATCTTTAGGTCCTGTGACACTGCTTTCCAGCGGGGTGGGGTGGGGGAGCGGGCTGTGTGTGGGGCAGTGTCAGTTCCCGCTGGGGCACAGTTGGCAAGGCCTAAAGGCAAACTGTGGAGGTTACAAGTGGAGGGTGCTGCTGACACCTAGTGGGTGAAGGCCAGAGGTGCCACCGTCCAGCCTGCGGCACGCGGGCAGCTTCCCCGAAAGAAGGACCTGGCCTGCAGTGTCCCGGCTGCCGTGGAGGTACTCTAGCTAACGTTACTTTCTCAAGGCGAATTGCTTCTTTCTTTACGTTCTCTTTGTGTGATACAGCTTACTGAAGTAAATTCACGTGGAAAGGAGGGAAGGGCTCAGCTGTAACATCCAATGGCTGTGCCTATGGTGTGGGAAAGAAACTGCACACACACACGCAAACACACTGACACCCAAACACAATGTCCATCCCATTTTGAGTATTTAACTATTAAAGGGAAAAGAAATAAAGTCCTCTTTATTAAAATAAGTCGAAACTTAGCTGGGAAGGATTTGTTCCTCTTTATGCAGAAAAAACCTTTTTTATTATGTAATACGAAGAAACTGACTTAATTTTATAAAATGGGCAAATAATAAAAAGATTTAAGTATTACAAGAGGAAACATCCTTGAAAAAAGTATTCCATTTTATTTGACAAATATAGCTAGGCATGGTGGCGCACATATGTAATCCCAGCACTCGGGAGGCTGAGGTAGGAGGGTTGTTGGGGGTTTGAGGCCACTCCGGGTTACGTAGTGAGTGGAAGGGCAGCCTGAACTGCATAGTGAGACCCTGTCTCCAAGGAAAGAAAGGAAAGAAAGAAAGAAAGCAAACAAGCAAGCAAAAGTGAATGACAAATATATACATTTGTCAAATAAGTGAAGAAAGTTAAAATACTTTCAAGATGCCTCCTTAGGTCTGTTAAACTGTTAAACTGAATAAAATTTTACCAGTGGAAATTTGGAGAAATTAGTATATGTATTTTTAAGTATAATTATAAATTAGCTGTTTGGGGAAAAGAGTGAAAAAATATAGCCAGAACCTTAAAAATAACAGTCCTTTTGGAAAAATAATTTGAGATACCAAACTACCAGACATGTTGGCATGTGTCTGTAGTCCTGCCTACTCCAGAGGCTGAGGCAGGAGAATGGCAAGTTCAAGGTCAGTGAACAACTTAGCAAGATCTTATTGTTAGAAAAAAAAGATGGGAGTTAGTGGGTGCTGGAGATGTAGCTCAGTGGTAAAGTGCTCCTGGGTTCAAACCTCAGTACCACCAAAAAGAACTGTGTGACTAAAATTGCTGTCCATTCCCAGAATTGTTTCCTAAAGGCACTGGTTTTCATCATAATGAAGTTTGTAGTAGGGAAGCTTCCGGACCTTGGAGTGTGGATCTGCGTCCTAACTCTGCCAGGTGTATATCTCTATCATTGTCATTGTTTTCGTCTTTCTTATTTTAGGGCTCTAGACAGTAAGTTTGCAAGGATTATTATACAAAATTGGTTTTGTACTTACTAAGGATCCAGAATGGTTGTAAAGTTTTCAGAGTAGTTGGTGGCTAAAATTTAAAAATAATTTAATGTGAAGTTAAATGTATATTTAAGTTTTCATTGGCAGTTAAACATTGACAAGTTGGGCTGGGGATTTAGCTCAGCGGCAAAAGCGCCTGCCTGGCAAGCGCAAGGTCGTGAGTTCCGTTCCTGGTACCGGAGAAAAACCAAGAAAAAAAAAAAAAACATTGACAAGTTAATGTAAGTATTTAAAAGAGTTTGAAAGTGATGTCCAGGGTGCAGACTTCTTTGGAAAGGGCTTTATTCAGCAAACTGAATTGTTTTTTCAGGTCTCTACAGCAGAACAATGTCATTCTTCCCCCAAAAGTATGATTTCCTGCAATAAGAAATCACTATATCTTCCACAAGAAATGTCAGCTGTCTATATAGAATTCACAGAATATTACTATCCTGATGGAAAGGATTTTCCAAGTAAGAGGATTTCCTATGTTGTTATGTATTCATTATGTGAAAAAGTGCGTTTTTTAAAAAATGTTTTCGAGTTATATAAATGTGAAAAAAATCAAGGGCTATTATATTTTTATCATTATTATTATTATTATTTGAGAAAGACTTGCTATGTAGTACAGGCAGGCCTTAAACTCAATTATGTAGCTCAGACTGGCCTTGAACTTACGGTGGTCCTCCTGTCTCAGCCTCTAGAGTGCTGGGATTACAGGTGTGTGCCCCCAGGCCCAGCCTGTTAGTTCTGTTTCTAATGCATATGTTTTATGTATTTGATTTGCATTTTTCTTAAGGATATGAACATATCGAAGGTTTCTACAAGCTTATTTTAAATATCTTCAAGGCTGGGGATACAACTCAGTGGTAAAGCTGGGTTCAATCCCCAGCACCTCGCAAAAATATAAGTACCTTTAGTAGCTACATAATTATATCAAAAGTAGACCCTATTTGGAAGCCGCACATACATCGTTTGTTGCTTAGTGTACTGGTTTCTTCCTCAGTCCCACACTTGATCTCAGGCTCCTTTCACTCTGTGCTCTTGCCTTGGGAGCACATTACTCTCTAGTCTTCATACGCTGAGACTCCCTTTCCACCTTCTTTCCTTTAGACTCTGATGTGAGCTCGTGAGCACCTCACTTTTTATTTCCAAAGACAAATACCCCCACATCATAATTACATATCTTTGAGAGACTTGAGTTTTAACTTTTTGTCTCGTCTTTTAACAAATTACAAATTTTTTCAAGGAAAAGGACTGTGCTGTTATTTCTTTTTTTTTGGTGTTTTTGACACAGGGTCTCACTTTGTTGAGGCTGGTCTTGAACTCACTTTGTATCCCAGGTTGGCCTCGAACTTGTAATGATCCTCCTGCTTCAGCCTCCCGAGTGCTGGACTTATAGGTGTGCGCCACCACACCCAGCGTGTGCTGTTCTTTCTTTTTGTATTCTTTTCTTTTTAATTTTAAAGAGAATAAAAAAATAGCAAAATAGCAACAACATAGACAAAAACGAAAAAATACAAAAACAATAAAAGTGATACAAGGTTTCAAAAAAAATGATGGGAATTAACAGTGGTTGTTATGCTACATATTGTTATCTTCAGTGATTACCAGATGTAAGAATGCAAGATTGATCAAACCATTAAGGAGAGTAAAAAATAATAAAAGAAACATTAGAAACAATACAGAGCTTCACTAGACAAGATGGTAGGAATTCACCAATGGTTGTTATATTGCATATTGTTGTCTTCAAATTAGTTGTTCAGATTGCTTAGCATAGTATAAAGAATGTTGTAGACATTCCGTGGATCTTTGCTAAAGAAAAGTGAATAAATGAATAACAAAAGCAAAAAACTCATAGGTATGCCACTGTTACACTATTTCCTCTGTTTTGGTTTCCCATTCCTTGAATTTATTTTCCTTGACTTAATTTGCTCTAAACGTTCTAGATGTACATATTTTAGCTTTGGTAAATGCCAGTATGTTTGAATTGTTACTTTTGTGTTCTGATTTCATCAAGTGTTGCATACCCTAATTGTAAATACTAGTTTATTTTGAGAGAGCTATGAAAAAGAGTATATTCATTTGATTGTTCAAGAGATACCTAGATACTTGAGTTTTACTCTACCTCAGGCACTATTCTAAACTTGGATTAAAGTGTGAAAGTAAGTTCTGCCCAGCATACCACTTTCAAAGGAAATTGGTTGTCAATTTTAAAGGTTGCGGATTAAGATACAGAGGGTAAAACCCTTACAAAAATATAACATTGAGAACTACAGTTTTTGTGTGTTGCCTCATCAATAAGGTAATATTTTTGGAAGTTGATTCTCTTTGAATGTAACCTTAAGAAAAGAAACCTGAATAGTTACTTCCTATTTATTCATCTAAACTTATATTACATTAAATATTTTTCAGTTAGTGAAGCATGGAAAATGTTTTTTGACTATTTCTGCTGCCACATATGTCACTCTAATTGTATATGTATAAGGTCTCAAAGAGTTTTAAGAAAGAATGAAACTTGCTGAAAATATCTTTTTGTTCTCAGGGAACATTTAGAACTGTCCATTAAGAGAATTATTTTTTTTTCCTCCACAGTTCCGTCTCCCAACCTGTATGGCCAGCTGAATGCACTACAGTTTACTGTGGATGAAAGAAGCATTCTGTGGTTAAATCAGTTTCTGTTGGATTTAAAACAGAGTCTCAATCAGTTCATGACTGTGTACAAACTGAATGACAATTCAAAATCTGACGAGCATGTTGATGTTCGGGTTGATGGCTTAATGCTAAAGGTACAGACAAGCGGCTGTTAGAACAAAGTCACTTGTGGGAGAAAAGTTGGCAGCATTACAATTTTTAGGATTCTTTGTAATATTAATTTTGATTTTGAAGTTTCAGATTTGTTTCTCTGTTATTGAAGCTTTAAGAAAGTGCTCCTCTGTACCTTCCATCCATGTACTACTTATGATTTTTTAAATCTTTCTCTAAGATTTCCATACATTTATAAATAAATTTAAATCAGTCATTTTTCTTAAATCTTTTTTTTGGGGGTGGTACCGAGAATTGAACTCAGGACCTTGTGCTTGCCAGGCGGGCGCTTATAGTCATTTTTCTGTTTCAGAACTGATAAAATTTTTTTCAAGAAAGGTAAATTATACAACAAAGCTTTTACATTATGAGTTTTTTTGTCCTATTATTAATATCCAAATAAAAAGTTGCTTTTCATTATAGTCAAGTAGTTGGTAAACTGGATTTTAAAGTCTTAAAGGAAAAAGGTTAAAAAAAGAAAAATCCTGGCTGACATAGTTTAGTAAACAGAATAACTTAGATATGAATGAAGGTTTTAGTTTCTAAGTCTATTGCTGATAGACTAAATTTACATACCTTTAATTCTTCCCCATAAAGTGTTGTTAATAATACTCAGCAATTGCATTGCAGAAATATTTTAGAGATCTTCTTAAGGTCTTACAAAATTCAATATAAAGGGACACTTTATAACATTTATTATATAGTGATGTTTGAATCTTCTGAATATGGGCAGTATTAAAGTGAGTCATTCTGAACTCTTTGGTATCAATACTTTCAGGGTTGGATTTAATTATCCTTTGAGAATTATTGTAGTAAACAGTTTGACCTATCCTTTTAAATTTACATTCTTAGTAGTCCAGAAAATGGACTCTAATGAGGTCTATCCAAGCATTCTATTCTTTCATGCAGTCATTCTCCAAAACATTTGGATTGAAATATCCTAACAAAAGAATCTCCTTCCCAGACTTGGTACTTTTTCTTTTTTTTTTTTTTTTTTTTTTTTGAGACAGGGTCTCACTATGTAGTTCAGGGTTGCCTTTCACACTGGAGACGAGGCAGTGAGCAAACATAGGGTTTTGTCTAGACCTCAATTGACCACAGTCTAAAACTTGAATTTTTATTTTATTTTATTTTTTGTTTGGTTTTTCTCCGGTACCAGGAACCGAACTCACGACCTTGCGCTTGCCAGGCAAGCGCTTTTGCCGCCGAGCTAAATCCCCAGCCCCGGTACTTTTTTCTGTGTACCTAGGTTACAGTCAGTAATAATGATTTAGCTCATTTGTATTGTTTTGTGACTTGCTATGTATAAAATATGATATGTATATTATATATGTTTTATTTTTTGAGAAGGTTATTCTCTTAGTGGTCAGTCATTCAAATCCCTTTTATTCAATTTGTAAAAAGTTTGAAAGACAGATAGTTAGTATTTTATATGTAAATAGGAAAGAATTACTGTGGGGGAAGTTAAAAGACTTGCTAAGCTAAATCATGTTCTTGATTATTTTACCTTGAAGATGTTTGGATTTGTAAAAAAGAAAAAGATGTTTGGATTTATAAACTGGACTAATTTTTTTCCTTTCTAGATTGTCATTCCTTCTGAAATGAAATCAGAATGTCACCGAGATCAACCACATGCTGTTTCCATTCAGAGTTCTGAAATGATCGCCACCAATACAAGGCACTGTCCAAACTGTCGACATTCTGATCTAGAAGCTTTGTTTCAAGACTTCAAAGATTGTGATTTTTTTAGTAGAACATACACTAGCTTCCCTAAATCTTGTGACAACTTTAATCTTCTACATCCAATCTTCCAGAGACATGCTCATGAACAAGATACCAAAATGCATGAAGTTTACAAAGGAAACATTACTCCCAAATTGAATAAACACACTCTTAAAACTTCTGCTGCCACGGATGTTTGGGCTGTGTACTTTTCTCAATTTTGGATAGATTACGAAGGGATGAAAAGTGGAAAAGGACGACCAGTAAGTTTTGTAGACTCTTTCCCTCTGTCTCTCTGGATTTGTCAGCCAGCAAGGTACGCAGAGTCACAAAAAGAGCTGCAGACCTGTAATCGGATACCCATAAATACATCACAGAGCGAATCTAGTGACCTGGCTGGCCGACTGAAGCGGAAGAAGCTCCTAAAGGAGTATTACAGCACAGAGTCTGAGCCTGTGACAAGGGGGGACCAGAAACCTCCATCAGATACATCGCTACGAGTTTCCTCTTCACCACCAGACGCAGATATTCACGTTCTGGTTCGTGTTAATAAACACGTCAGTATGCAGATCAATCACTACCAGTATCTTCTCCTACTTTTCCTACACGAGTCACTTATTCTGCTTTCAGAGAACTTAAGGAAAGACGTAGAAGCTGTGACTGGCACTCCTCCGGCTCAGATGTCTATTTGCATTGGGATTTTACTGAGAAGTGCAGAACTGGCTCTTCTGCTACATCCAGTGGATCAAGCCAATCCTCTGAAGTCTCCTGTTTCAGATAGTGGGAGCCCATTGGTTCCTGAGGATTTGCCGCCAGAAAATGGAGAATTTTTGTCTTCAAAAAGAAAACAAGTTAGTAGTGGTATAAATCAAATTAGAAGTGTAGCTGTTAATCATATGTCAGATAACAGATCTATGAGCGTTGACCTTAGCCATGTCCCTTTAAAGGACCCTCTGCTGTTTAAATCAGCTAGCGATACAAATCTGCAAAAAGGTACTTTCCTGGACTATTTATCAGATAAGCATTTAGGGAAAATAAGTGAAGATGAAAGTAGTGGACTTGTTTACAAAGGTGGCTCAGGAGAAATTGGATCAGAAATAAATGACAGAAAAGTGTCATCGCATACAGATTCAAATCATGTCTTAAACTACCAAGAAGACTTGAATAGGCTGTCATTTGACAATGATAGTAATCAGAATATACTTTCAATTAGTTTAACGAGTAAAGGAAGTGAAACCACAGAGCCAAACATTAAGCCTGAAGATTTGCTTCTAGATGCAGCTTCATCCCCTGACAACCTGGAAATCAGTAAAGAAGAGGCATCTGCACTTAGAACACTTAAATCACAGTCATCTTTCAGGTAACAACATACTAATGGAAGTTTGGGGCTTTTTATTGGTTTTTGCTGAGTGTGTGTGCGCACATGAGTGTATCTTGTTTTGGGGCAGAAAACCTCCTGACACAATGATGTAGCAACATTGTTAGAGTTAACGAAAAGTAGTTTTTTCCAAATATGAGATCCCTTTGAATTTATATATTTAAATATAATTTTAAAACTTATAGGTGCTGTGTGCATATTTTAATATTGTATTTTAAAGATTAATAACTTTTAATTTAATTTTGTATTTTAAAGATAAACTTGTTTTTATGTAGTAATCCTCTAGTGACTTTGTTTGCTAGCAGCGGGAAGCCTAAGGAACGTTGCTCCCCCAACCTGCCGCCGCTCAGTGTTTCTCATAAGAGCATGAAAAGAAGCTCCTCACAGATTTCACTGGACACCATTTCTCTGGACAGCATGATACTGGAAGAGCAGCTATTGGAAAGTGATGGAAGTGATAGTCATATATTTCTGGAAAAAGGTAAAGGAGTTCAGTGAAAAAATTACTATATACCAGAATCTGCCAAAGGATGTACATACACTTCAGCAGCTCCCCGTACTAATACGTGTCCTGAAGCTCATGGCCACCACTTTGAGCGCCTCTTGTAAACTGTAGAGGCCAAAGATAGCTGTGTGAATCTCATCATGTCTCACTAAATGTAGTGTGAAAGTGTATATGCAAGCTTTTTGCTGATACACATTTTTTGGTGAACTCTATATCAACAACTCTTATAACAAAAGCAATATTGAATAATTAAGTCAAATAATTGTTAATTACATCCAAACTACCTAACTCTCTAGTGATAGTTCCACTTCTTTTTATTCAATTTTTTTTTTACTTTATTAGAAAATAAAACATTATTGTTACCACATAATAAGAGAATAACAGTAATTATGCTGTTTATCTTCAAACTAGTTACTCAATATAAGATATAAACCAAGAAGATTCTTACAAGAAAGAAACAAACTGATAATAATACAAACTTTCTTTTCAACAAACTGAGATAAACTATTAGTATAAATGAAACAAATTAGTATATATATGATATTTTTAAAGCAATAGAATGCCAGGTGTGGTGGTCATGTCTATATCCTAGAACTGGAGAGGCTGAGGCAGGAGGATCACTGGGAGTTCAAGGCCAGTCTGAACTGCACAGTGAAATCCTGTCTCAAAGAGATCAAAAAAAAAAAAAAAAACCAAACCCAAAAATCCTAGAATATGTACTTTGGGGCAGTCCATTACTCCTTTTAATCACATACTCCTTTTTCTTAATAATTGACATCAATCATTATTTAGACACAGTCATTTACATTAAGTCAACCAACATTAAGGCTACCCACCTCTTTTATAGAGCACCTATTTCTGGAAGTTTGATTAGATGGAGCTCATTTGCCTGCTGGAGTCTCAATTATGTGATCCTATGACTGGAATTTTTCCAGACTGGAGCCGGTAATTTACAAAACCCAGATTATTTCACATACAGGACTACAAGATCCTTCCATTTCATCAGAGGTGACCAGTGTCCCAGTAAAGGCCGCTGTAAATGATTTAGTATTAGATACATCGCCATAAATACGATATTGGGGGCTTTTGTAAACAGGAATAAAATCACGGGCCAAAATCAAAAAAGCTGCCACAGACAAAAAGTAGGAGATCAGAGAGAGGCAAATATGAATTGTTTTCTATAGAGCAATTGAAAACAGCTTAGATGAGAGAATTAGTAGTATAATAATAAATATATAAAAAGAAGCCAGGCAATTTGGTACACGCCTGTAATCCCAATATTTGGAAGGCTGAAGCAAGAGGATTGCCACAAGTTTAAAGCCAGCCTGGGCTACATAGTGAGCCCAAGGCCGGCCTAAACTACATAGTGAGATCTTGTTTTTTAAAAGAAAAGAAATGAAATATATGTACAATAAGTATTATTAGTTCCATTTATTGTCAGGTGCCATGTTACTCCATTTTGTGCTGTGATCTTGGAATGCCACAGACTGGGGAATTGATAAGGACCGGAAGTTTATTTCTCACAGTTCGCAGTGCTGAGAACTCCAAGGCCATGGCCCCAGCGGGTTTGGGTGTGTAGTGCGGCACACCCTCTAGGGTGCAGGGACGCTGTGCCCTTACCTGATGGAGAGGGAGAGGGCAAGAGGCCTTTTACCCCATTCCTGTGGGAGGGGCCCTGGTGCTGAAGGCCACGTCCACACTGGTAACACATGAATTTGTGCGGGGACATTCAGATCATAGCAGGCACTTAAATAGTTCACCTCATTTAATTTGAAACAATTCCATAACAGTAGCTAGCATTTATTCAACACATTCTCTGTTTTGGGGTGTGTGTGTGTGTGTGTGTGTGTGTGTGTGTGTAAAAATGCATTTATCCCTCCCAACAATTCTATCAGTACTATTATCTTCAGAGAGGTGAAATAAGTAACCCAAGGTAACACAGCTAGTAAGTGTTTCACTGGACCCTGTGTACCAAATTGCCTCATCCCTCAGAGGCCTGTTTCTTCCTGTCCTTATTTTAAAGGTACAGCAGCTGAGGTTCCTAAAGGTAAAGTAATTTTCCTATAGAGACATTACTGTAGGTAGAGCTTGGGTTGCCACTTTTTGTTTTTTCTAGGCTGACAGTTACTAGGTACTTATTACACCAATTACTGTTTTAAGCATTGGATCGGTTTTATTTAATCTTCAAATAGATCTAAGGTAGGGACTATTACTGTCTCCATTTTAAAGGCAAGCGAAGCAAAGCCTAGGGAGGTTAGGCAGCTTGCCCACAACCACACACTGAGCAGCGGAGGTAGTGTTTAACACAGGCAGACGGGGAGTCTGGGCCCTGCTGACTCCTTGACCAAGCCTTCTTAGCTGAATTCACTCTTCATGTGACAGTCAGAAAGCAGAGCTCTCTGCCAGACCCCCGTGTACTCTTACTTGGTAGAAGCCACTAGCCAGGCTGCCCTCCATGGTAGCTGATGGGGAAAAATAGCAAACATTTACTGAACACCCTGGTCACTCTGCCGTGCACTTTAACATATATTGTTTTATATAATCCTCAAAACAACCCTACAAGGGATTATTGGCTCTTCTAAAAAAAATTCATTTAGAAACTGAAGCTTAGGGAAATTAGGTATCTTGTTCAAAGTCATGTAGCCAGGAAGTAGTAGAGGCAGATTTGGTAGCTAGTCCAATCAAAAGCCTGTACTTTTAACCAATGTACCTGTTCCTCAGACTTGAATGATTACCATATATAAATAAAAATCCTACTCTCATTCATAAAATGGAATTCATAGCACTATCCTTTCCAGCATGCCACTTAAATGTACTGATACGGATCATAAAAAGCTATTCTACATGCTAGATTCACAGACAGCGCAAGATGTCTGTCTCTTGTCTCAGTTACGGTTTAAAGTACTCCTTCAACAGGGTTTCTATCCCAGGAGGCAGAGAGTCTTCCAAATCAGTATGGCAAACATCCCTGCTTATTCTCAAAAAGGCAGAGTAATTTTCTTATTTCTAGTAATTAAATAATAAAAGATAACTACCATTCAATGTGGAAAACTTGGAAAGTATGACCACAGTTTGGAAAATAAAATCACCCCAAAGTCACACACTCCAGAGCCATAATCCGTATCCTGTGGGCTTGTGTATACAGTATGTGCGTGTCTTAGTTGTTTCCTTGTTGCCAAGACACAGTATCCTGTCACCCACAGCTTAGCAGAGGACAGGCTTGTGGTGGCTCAGTTAGTAGAGGTTTCGGTCCATTGTCAGCAGACTCCGGGGCAGGGCAGGCAGGGAGCAAGGGGGATCAAGGCCGCACCTGCAGTGACCACTCCATGAGGCAACCAGGCTTCCCCTCCACACATCACAGTTAGCTATAAACCCATCAGTGGACCCATGCGTGTCACACCCCCATGACCCAGTCACCCCCCAGAAGCCCTACCTGTGAGTGCACGAGGCTTCAGAGGGACACCTAGACACACGGTGGCCTGGGCTGGCTGGGGATGTGGCTCTGGGGCGGAGCGCTTGCCTTGCACCGCTGCGTTTCCGCGATATAAACCGCAGTGCTGCGTGGATGTGTATTCGTTGTCATATATGTGACTTTGTAACCTGCTTTCATAGGGTGTAAGCATTTTCCAATATGAAACTATTTTAAAGGTTTTTTAAACCTATATAAAATGGCTATAAAAATATATCATGACTTTTTAGGTATTTTGCCTACTTTTCTGATTACTATCTTAGAACAGATTGTAACGTTATCCTTTTTTTTAGGATCTTGAAAACTGTTGACTTTTTTTTGGGTACTGGGACTCAAACTCAGAACCTTGCACTTGCCAGGCAGGCACTTGTGCCCTGGAGCTATATCCCCGGCAAAAAATGTTGACTTTGTAACAATTGAAATATATTCCTGGTTCTCCTGAAACTGTGTGTGTGTGTATGTGATACTGGGAATTGAAGCCAGCGTCCCACACATGCTAGGCACACACTGCGCCGCTGAGCCGCGTTCCCAGCCCTTTTAAATTTAGTTTAATTTTGTATTGAAATCTGGACTCTCTGATTTGCCCAGGCTGGCCTTGAACCTGGTATTCTCCTATGTCAGCCTCCTGAGTACTGCAGTTACACACGTGTGTCAAGACACCTGATTCTAAATGCTTAATTACGGTGTTCTCTTTATGTTAGAGGAATTGCTACTCCTCTGTATGTATCATACAGGCACATGCATACATGCGTATATATGGCATTCATATGTGTGAAAGGCGTGTGTACATATTTATGGATATACATCCATATTTATGAACACCTGAGCGCAAACACATACCTGGACTACCAGCTCCCCAGAGCCTCCTAACTAGTCCCCTCACGTCCACATAGTTCTGTTTATTTGCAGTTTATTCTGTAGGGAGAATGGTCTTCTAAAAATGCAAATTTGGTGGTTTTTCCTCCAGTTTAACCCTTGTAGCTCCTCCATGCTAGAAAGTTGTCGAGTCTAAGATCGTAACATCCTGACAGTGTTCTGTGTGACGTGGCCCAGCTTCCCTTTGCCGGGGTGTCGTTGCTTACACTCACTGCGCTTTTGCTGTGCTATGGAGCGTTGAAGTCTTTCTCACAGTTTCTTTCTGTGATAAACTCTTCTGCTTCAGGGTCTCGTACCTGTACCTGGAGAGCCCTTTTTTTCTGTTTACCTTAATAAAAATACTGGTATCAAAGAAGCCTTCTTAAAGCCCTGGGCCGGGAGGAAGGCCCCTGGAAATGCTTTTGTGCGTCAGCTGCTGTGCCGCAGCTGTATCTCCGGGCATCTGCCCTGTCAGGCGCATGATAGTTCATTCTCTATGCGGTTGTTAAGCCCCAATGTTAGAAGCAGTTGTATAGTAGTACATGTAATAATAAGTTGAGGCTTACATTTTGTAACTCTTTAGCTTTTCTAATCTAATTTTTCTCATAATTTTATGGTTTTTTCAAAGTATTAATCTGTAATGGACACTTTTTTTTACTACAGTTAGTTTGAGAAATGCTGAAGTACAAAACTGAGGCTCTGTTCTCAGTTTTGTACTTCAGCACAGTGACGGCGCCGGTACTAAGTTCGTAGGAAGTAGTTAGGAGTTGCCGTAGGATACTGAGAGGAGAGACGTGGTCGGACTGCGGCTGCTCGGTGTGCGCGGATGGGATGGCGAAGGCGAAGCCTGTGCGGACCCTGTTAATGGGACCGGCCCCGCCGCTGCTCTGGGTGGGGAGAAGACACGCTGTGTTCAGCGGTGGAAGATTGTTTCCATAAGTTTAGGGCTTTGTATTTGTAACATTTTAATTCTGGAAGTTATAGCTTATTATTTGCTAACTAACCATAATCTAAATTTCTTTTCTAGTTTTTTTGGGGGGGATGTCTTTTTGAGGCAGGATTTCACTAGGTAGCACAGGCTGGCCTTGAACTTAGTATGTAGTACAGGTTGGCCTTTAGCTTGCAGCGATCCTCCTGCCTCAGCCTCCTGAGTGCTGAGACTATAGGGGTGTGCCATCATGCCTGGCATCTTTTCTAGTTTTTTAAGCCAGATAATGCTTGAGAAGGAGTTGAAGGGAGCATCCATTTTGGTAGAATAAACTTCACTTCATGGATCATGTGTAAAACTGATTTTATTAGTTTACTGTTGTTATTTCAGAAATTAAAAAGAACTCTACTGCCAACTATCAGAGCCCAGCAGAGAGTGTGAGCACCAGCGCAAATCTGCAGAAATTTGGTGAATCCTCCCCAGATGCCATTAGTACCAATTCGGAGTGTGCTCAAGAAAACCATGATGACCTGGTAATCACTTCAGAGGGACTGTATGAAAGAAATGACGTCAACTTTATTTCATATTTGATGTATATGCATTTTAAGACACTAATGCATAAAATGAATTCTTAGGTTGGGGATAGTTTATTCTTTCTACTCTTTTGTTTTTTCTTTTTGTCTTTTTGAGTCAGAGTTCACTATGCAGTTCAGGCTGGCCTTGAACTCACCTTGTAGCCCAGGCTGGCCTCAAACTCACAGTGATCCTCCTGCCTCAGCCTCCTCAGTGCTGGGATTACAGGCATAAGCCACCATGCCTAGCTTCTTTCTACTCTTTTTTAAAAATTTAGGTTCCAAATTTAATTTTTCTGAGACAGGGTCTCACTGTAGTCCAGGCTAGTCTTGAACTCACTATGTAGCCCAAGCTGGCCATCCTGCCTCAGCCTCCCAAGTGCTGGGAGTACAGGTATGCGCCACCACACCTGGCTTACTCTTTCTATTCTTGAGGAATCAATTAGCTTCTTTTCTATTTACTTTTCTAAACTTGTTTTAATCATTTTGAGGCGGGGAGTACCTGTCTTTTTTTCTGTCTTTCATTTTTTTGACCTATAGTTTAGTTTCTTTTAAATATACTTTTTAAAAAAAGTTTGATGCGGGGCTGGGGATTTAGCTCAGCGGCAAAAGCGCCTGCCTGGCAAGTGCAAGGTCGTGAGTTCGGTTCCCGGTACCGGAGAAAAACCAAAAAAAAAAAAAAAAAAAAAAAAGTTTGATGCAAGGAAAAAAATTATTATAATATGGGTCTTTCTATAAAGGAAATTCATTACTATTTTCTTTTAAACCTTTCTGACCTAGTGGAATATTTATAAGAAAGACTTTAAAAATGTATTATGTCCTGCTTTTAGCAAAAACCATTTTACATGGAAAAGTCATATTATTAATCTTTGCCAACTAAAATAGTTTTCCTTGACAATGCAAAGAACAGACTAAGTTTGTCATTACAGGTTGAGTGTCCCTTGTACAAAATTTTTAGCATTAGAACCATTTGGGATCTTTAAAAAATGTTTTGAAAAAGAAATTGAAATATTTGCATATACATGATGAGATGTTTTGGAGGTGGACTAAGATGAAATGTGAACTCTGTTTATGCTTCATACACATTATATGCACATAGCCTGGTGATTTTCTGTAAAACTTTCAATAATTTTGTGTATGAGCTGGGTTTGGTAGTGTACCCCTGTAACTCTGGCAATTGGAAGGCCGAGGCAGGAGGATCGCTATGAATATGTGGCCAGCCTGGTCTATGTGGGAAGTTCAAGGCAAGCTCAAAGTACACAGTGAGAGCCTGTCTCAATAAAACAAAACAAAACCAAAAATAATTTTGTGCATGAAGCAGAGTTTCACAATGCAGAATTTTCCACTTGTGACATCATGTTGTCACTCAAAAAGTGTCAGGTGTCTGATTTTAAAACTGGGGATACTTGCACTGGGCATGGTGGCACATGCCTGTAATCCCAGCACTCGGGAGGCTGAGGCAGGAGGATCCTTGCGAGTTCAAGACCAGCCTGGGCTACAAAGTGAGCTCAAGGCGAGCCTGAACTGCATAGTGGACCCTATCTCAAAAAGACCAAAAAAACCCCAAAAAACTAGGTATACTCAGCCTGTATAATGTAACTACTGGTGCTGTGGGTCATAGGTATATGTCTGGTGTGGTTTTTTTTGTTGTTTGTTTGTTTGTTTTTGTTTTTTTCTGGTACTGGGAATCAAACTCACAACCTTGCACTTGCCAGGCAGGCCCTGTGCTGCTGAGCTAAATCCCCAACCCCTTATATGTCTGGTTTGATAAAATAAGTGTAACTTTCGAAATGAATGATCATTTATTATTTCTTAAATTTAATTACTCGGTGCACTAATATTATTTATATGATCAATAATAGATGTCAGTTGTGGTGTTTAAAATTACTGGCGTTTACGGGGAAATTGATATCCGAGGAGAAGATACAGAAATCTGTCTTCAAGTGAACCAGGTGACGCCAGACCAATTAGGCAATATCAGTCTTCGGCATTACCTTTGTAATCGTCCAGTCGGTAAGGTTTTTTTAAACTACTTTGCACATAAAATACTTTACTATGATTTAAATTTTTCTTGTTTTGTGTATGACTAATCAATAGTCTTGTCTGATGTTGGTTGAAAGAAAATTACATTTCAGAAAAAAAGTCATCGAGCTGTCATATTTTTCTTGGAAATATACACAGAATTCCATATCTCATTCCTAATATGTTGCAGTAAATACAGCCTAGTGTGGTGACAGAACTGTGCCATCACTGCACATTCGGGACACTGCAGGTAAATGTGTCGTTAGTCTGTCAGCCAACATCATAGAGGAAAAATTGGCTTTTTGTCTTTTTTCTGTGTTAGGCCTTGTGGTTTACAGTATATCTCCTAAAAGAAAAATTTAAGGATTTTATATTAAGTGTAAATCCTAAAGCCATGCAGAATAGAGGAAGCTAAGTTTCTGTCTGGAGAAGTTTCATAGTAGACAAAAAAAATTAATTTAAAACAAAATTTCAGAACCTAGACCTTGTTCCATATCCATTCTCAACGCTCCCATTATTTCCAGCTGCATAGTTTTCTGCCTTTATCATGTATAGCTTACTTGATCTGTTACCTGTCACTTTGTTTCATTTTGTATCCAACTGAACAAATTATTTCGGACGCCTTATTTGGGTTGTATAGTCAGTGCTCATACCTTATTTTTCTCACCTGTCTCAGTTGGTTTTTTTTGAAGAAGAAAAGGAGAGGAAGGGAGAAGGGAATGAAGAGAAAGGAAAAATAGTAATTTAGCTTGAACATTTCAGTGAATAAGTGGTATTGACAAGCATGGTGTTTAAGGTGGAGTTTGTATACACTTAGCACTCATAATATTGCAAAGTTGGTTTTAATTTTTTTGTTTGGTTGGGTTTTTCCTATTATCTGTGGGTCTTGGCTTCCCTGAATAGGAAGATGTATTAGTCACCCCGACCTGGAACGCAATACCTGCCACTCATGAAGAAATGAGAGGTGAGGTTTATTTGGCCAGTGGTTTCAGAGAAGGTTGGCCAAAACCTTTGGGGACAAGAATAGAGTCTTCCAGGTCACACCCTTCTTGACCTGTCACGTCCCCCCACCATACACAACTCTAATAGCGCATCACCTACGAACTCATGAGTATTACACCCCTGCTAGCCAAGCATCCACTCACAGCAACCTGTGCTCGGGAGGCATCAACATACACTCCAGAGCTAAACTCTAACGGGAGACTAAACGGAGGCACCGTAGTTCCATGGTGTAAGGGAGAGCGGGGAGGAGAAGGAAGGATTTTTTAATCTGTAAAGTTTTTGTTTTATCTCTACTCCAAGACCGCGTTTTGGAGTGGTACTGGGGACTGCACCCAGAGCCTTCGTTCTGACCTGCATCCATCGTCTGCCCTTTATAAAAGTTTCATTTTGAGAAAGGATCTTGTAAAGTTGTCTAGTCTGGGCTTAAACTTGTAGTTGTCCTGCCTCAGCGTCCCAAATGCTGGGATTACAAGTGTGTGCCCCCTTACCTACCTGCTAATTTCTTTTACTACTACATGAACAAGGTAACTCTTGTTTCTCGTGACATTGGGAATACTACCTACCATTACAGTTGTTTCTTTTACCTTTTTAAATAAAATTAAAATATCTGAGGCTTTAAATATTTAAAGAATATTTCAGAATTATATTTGATATATTTTCTGTATTGTAAATGTTAATGAACAGTACTAACATTAATTAAATGTAGTTTTGTACCCGAATAAAATTTTTAACAATAACTCTGCTCTTGGAGTTGTGTGTAGAGACCTCTGCTAGGTACATAAATATCCATAGCTTTACTTTTTGGCAACCCCTGCCTTGCAAATGTGTGTACATTTGTCCTCAGTATTATTATTCACACCCATGCTGAGGGAAAATACAGAGTCTTTCCATCGTGAATTTAATTAGTGGGGCCTTCTTATGAGGACTTAGGGAATAATTAGCTTTCATACCTCAGAAACAAATGGCTTTTTCTTTCCAAAACACCTGGCTCGTTTTTTCCTCGTGAATTGTATGAATTGTGAACCTGGTCATCCTTTTCTCGTTGTTGCCGGGAAGCTTGCTTTGGTCCACCTTTAGTACTGAAATTTCATGTATTGTGGGTCACTAACCTTACCACCTACCTTCACTTTTTCTTATTTTTTTATTTGTTTACTCATTTTTATCTGATTACACCATGTGCATATTATTTCCTGTTTATTTGGAGGTAGGCAGCATAAAATAAGTAAGCAAAATAGTTACCATGAGTGTCAGTTCAGAAGTAACTTCCTTCAGTAGTTCCACCAGTAGCTTTTTAAAAGTTAGTGCATGAGAACTTGTTGAAATTTAAAATTTTCTTTTTAAACTTGAGTATTTATAGCTCTGTAAGCCATCTCAGTTCTTTTTAGGAACAAAGCCAAGGCATAGATAAATGTGTTATTTTATATATAATCACATATATATTCTTTACAGTAATTTCAGTCTTAATTTGTCCTCTAATAGAAACATTTTACTGAGGTCTTCTCTATTTACCTGTCCATTATTTAAGGGCCCAGTTTAATGAGAGAGGTTCAAACCCTGACCTTGCTTGCTCTTGAGACACAGCTTGCCAGTCACCTGAAGTACCACGACTGCTTGTCACAGTTGTCCATTCTACCACACACGTGTAGTAGGTACTCACTGAGGCACATTTTAGGTATCTGAGGTATGTATCACATCAGTTATAACATGTCTTTTCCTATTACAAGAAATAGAAGATAGAAAAGTCAACACTAATCACAAATAATACTGATACTTTTTGAGTAGCACTGCAGAGTTACGATTTTTATGTTCATTTTCCCTAGGTTCTGATCGGAAATCTGTAACTCATTCCAAATCCCCTCCTGAGATCTCACTGAGGTTTGAAAGTGGACCTAGCGCTCTGATGCACTCATTGCTTGCAGAAAAAAATGGATTTCTACAATGCCATATAGAAAACTTCAGCACCGAGTTTCTTACATCTTCTCTTATGAATATTCAACATTTTTTGGAAGATGAAACTGTTGCAACAGTAATGCCAATGAAGATACAAGTTTCTAACACAAAAATAAATTTGAAAGTACGTTACAGGATAATCTTATATTTTCATATTATGGATGTTCGTACTGCCTTCCTCAGCTTTGATTCGTGTCTAAGACTATGCCTTCTCTGTAACATACTCTGTATTAAAATGAATTTAGCGCTCTTTCTGATGGATGATAGAGATCCTTCTTACAAGGTAGAAACTGTCAGAGTAGCTCAGGTAAATCTTGCTACATCACCTAAAGCGTTTATAGATGTACAGTATTGCTACCTCATTAAGAATATTGACTGAAGTAATGTTGATTTAAAATGATTATTTTAATTTCATCATTTAATAAGAACATGCCAGTGTTATTTCTCTTCCCTAGGATGACAGTCCTCGGAGTAGCGCAATGTCCCTTGAACCAGCTCCTGTGACTGTGCATATTGATCGTCTCGTGGTGGAAAGAAATGATGACGGCTCTTTTCATATCCGAGGTATAGGAAAAGCATTTAAACCCATGTCTTAAATTTGAAGTTAAATGCTGTATGTACTGATTGTTTCCCTTCACTCATTATGTACTCTGTATTTGTGGATCTATGCACTCACAGATGACTGAAGGAGCACACTCTCAGTATACTGTAGTAAAAATCCATGAGCCAGACAGAGTGGTGAGTGCATGTCATTCTAGCTGTTCGGGAGGCTGAGGCAGGAGGATTGCAAGTTTTATGCCAGCCTGGGCAACTTAAGAGTCTTGTCTTAAAAAATAAAAAGGCCTGGGGATGTAGCTCAGTAGTAGAGCGCATGCCTAGCACGTGTGAGACCTTTGATTGAGTCCCCACCACTGTAAAGGAACAAGGAAGGGAAAGAGGGAGGGAGGGAGGGAATAAATCTGTACCTAGACCCTGGAAGTGACTCACTGGCAGTTGATTAATCCCTGCTCTGCGCATGTGTTTTGAAAGACAGTGAGAGAGGCTTTTGTGGCTTCCATGGCCCTTGATCTCACTCCTGTCAGTTGAATGATGCTTTTATTTTCCACTGTTCTTTCACATACACCACGCCCTGTTGTATTCTTTTGTGCGGAACTTGCCTTGCAGTTTTCCATCCCTGTGTTTCTCTTTGCCTTGTTATTTCTCATTAGAATCACTCATCCCCTGTGTGTTTTGTTTGTTTATTTATTTACTTATGCTTTGGTAGAAGGTTTTGAACTCAAGAATCCCGTGGCTGTTCCTGAGCTCTGCCCCATCCTCTTGTGTAAATTTTACCCATCCTTCCCCAGTTATGTCAAGCTTTTTGTTTTCAGTGAAGCCTTCTTTCTAATCTCATGAGTTCTAATACTGATGGTGCTTTTCTGTACATAGTTACTTATAGTGCATTGCTAGATATTTAGTGTTTTAATGTTGGTTCTGCACTCTAGTAAGATTTTAAGATGTCTAACATGAAGTTCTTCTATCTGAGAAGGTAGTGCCGAGTAACATAGAGAACATGAATCAGTAGACCTAAATGTTCTAGGCCTCACTATTTCAGTAGCTTATTGAGGATGAAACATTAGTGACTACATATATTTGCTGATCAAAAACCTCAAGAAATGGCAGAAAATATGTAAAAAGAAGATTAAGGTCATTAGGAGCACTTCAAAAGAAGACTAAGTACCATGAGGAGGTCAGAAATTTGTAGAAGAAAAGTGGGGCGTGGTGGCACATGCTTGTAATCCCAGACTCAGGAGGCCGAGGCAGGAGGATCACAATTTTTAGACCACCCTGGGTTATATAGAAACTTCAGGGCCAGTTTGGGCAGTATTGTAAAACCCTGTCTCAGAAACCAGCCAACCAAATAAATAAAACTAGACAGGAAAAACCAGATTAGTCTGTGGCTATAAACCCATGAAAGAAGACTGTTGCTGAGGAAGGAGCATTGCCGCAAGAATACTTAATTCATCATACTCTCTGGAGTCTGGGCTCAAGGAGTCACGGACAAGTCAGGCCAACAAAGATCACAGTATCAGCCTCATTACTGATAAGGCTCAGCTGGGCAAGATGAGGTAAAGCTGTGAGAAGAAGGGCTTGCTGCCTGCTTTTAGTTTCCCAAACTACAAGTCTCTTCCAGAGAAAGCAGAATAGAAGGCACCCTGTAGTGCATTGCCAGCTGGTGGTCAAGTTATAACCCCCAGGTGAACCGAGTAAGCGTGGTGCTGGGTGTGGGAGGCCCACCTGGGGATTGTTCCCAGCGGCATAAGAGGCAGAACTGGAGAAGAAGAAGTTAGCCTGTTGGGAGCAGAGAAAGGCTGTTGGGAGCTAGTAGAGGCTGTAAGGAGCTGTTGGTTCTGTTGGAGGAGCTCGTCATGCTGGATTTTCTGATGCACTTGGCTGTTTTCATCCTCCAAGGAGCTCGGGTCCCCATTGGCACTGAGAATGGCTTTGGTTCACTTTGGGGGCACTCTGGTCCTCACTCGGAGCATCACTGTTTGGCTACAGAGGAGAAGATGGTGCACTGCCGGTCTCCCAGAGAAGCTTGCTGCATTGGCTTTCCTGACGGGAACTCAGCTGTCTTCACCATTGGAGGAGCTCAGGACCTCACTGTTGCTGAGGATGGCTGTGGTACTTTTCAGGGGAGCTCTGGTTCTTACTTTATGTGTCGCTTCCTGGCGCCAGTGCAGATCCCTCAGCCTGCTAGCGCAGATCCTTCATCCCACTGGCACAGACTTCCTAGATTCCACCACTGACCTTTGGGCCTTCCTAGTGCAGATCCGTGAAACAGGCCTGCATGAGACGTTGTTACGGGCTCTGGGCCTCCAGGTGGACTCCTGGGAGTAATGAGCTCTAGGTCTTTAACTGGACTTATGCAGGACATTATTGCGGGATCCACGCCCTCAGCTGGATTCCTAGTCTATAGTATGTGGACAGATTTCCTGCACTCTCTTGTATATGATTCCCTGGGTAACTGTTATCAATAATCTTATAAAATATGTCTTGTGTTATTGTTCTCCCTTGCAAAATACCCCCAAACCATAACACACCTTTTCTGCACTGAAGGCAGATACCAAGGTGAGAACAGTAAATTACAAATACAGAGCCCCCTTTATTTTCTTTTCTAATCTCGTCAACTAGGGAAGTTATACCTTCTTCCCTAGGCAGAGGTGAGAAATGAGGCCAAGCAAGTGGAGGAGAGCTGTTAGGAACTGTTAGAGCCCAGGGTGGAAACGTCCCGGGTGTCCTCATGCAGTGAATTTACACAGAGTATGGTAGGTTCATGTAATGGAGCATTATTCAGCAGTACACACTGATAGAATGGTGCAGTTTACAGGATGGGTAACTTGGAAAACGTTATGCTAATTGAAAAGCAGTCACAAGTGGACAAGAGAGTTATGACTCTGTTCATGTGAAATGTCCAGGAGAGGCACATTGATAGGAACAGGATGTAAAGCAGTGATGTCCTAGTTCTGAGGGGGCTGAGACTGGGTGGGAATGGGAAGAGACTGATAACGGCTGTGGGGCTTTAGGGGCGGATGGAAATGTTAAGTGCTTGTGGTGGTGGTGGTTGTGCGGTCTGTAGGTGCAGTGAAAACCATTGGGTTATACGCTGGAAATGTGTGAGTATATGCAGTGTGTTTCTTGTTTTAATCAAACTAGTTTTGGGATATTTTAATGTCTAGTTTTAGGATTTTTTAATGTCTAGTTTTAGAACCATGAGAGATGTAGGAAACCAAGCTCACACCTCAAACCACAGCAGGATTTTGTAAAGGCAAAGGCTGCCACTTGTCCTGGACAGGAGATTTTACAGCTTACGCTACTGCTGTTACTGCTTCACAATTCACCTTTACTGTAACTATTGCAACTGACACTGTTTCCACTTTTATACCAGGAACTTGACCTTTCAGCTGCTGTCAGTACTACTGCATCCAGACTGAGAAGGGATTTACTACTTTTCCATCCCTTCTCTCTTTTTTAAATTAAGTTTATTGTTACGTAGTGATCACATTCTTCCCAGGGGATTTGTACCTGTACAAGATAAATCTTGATTGTTTTTTTTTTCCATCCCCTTACAGTCCTCCAACCCTTCTTCCCTTCCTTCTTTATAAGACCTTTGTTTCCATGTTTTCCTTCCTTCTTCGTGTTTTTCTTTTCCCCCCTTTTTTCCTTACCCCTACCTAGTTTACCTTTCCATTTGAACAATTTCTTCCTGTTTCCAAATATCTATTATACATTTTGGTCCTTATTTACACTTTGTTTCGCACACCAGAGAAATAATGTAGTATGTACATGTGTGTCTCATTCATTTCATTTGGGAGTATGGTCTCAAGGTGCATCCATTTAGCTTTAAATGTCTCAAGTTTATCCTTCTTTATGGCTCACTAGTACTCTGTTGTATAAAAAAATCATATCTTCTTTATCCATTCACTGCTTGATGGGCATTTGGGCTGTTTTCAAGATTTGCCTATTACAAACGGTGCTGCTATAAAATTGGGTGTGCATGTATCACCATGATATGATGCTTTTAATTCTTTCAGGATGATACCAAGAAGGGGAATACCTGGGTCAAATGAAACTTCTAGTTTTAGTTTTCTGAGGACTCTCTATACTCATTTCCACAGTGGTTGCATCAATCTGTACGCCCACAAACAGTAGAGAAGGGTCCCTTTTTCTGCACAGCCCCACCAGCATTTGTTACTGGTTGATTCTTTGATAATAGTCATTCTTTCTGGTGTGATATGGAATCTCAGCATTGTTTGCATCCCTGAAATGACCAATGATGTTGAACATTTTTTCATATATTTTGTGTTTCTACATCTTCATCTGAGAAGTGTGTATTACTGATGCCCACTTTTGGATTGGGTCTTTAAGACTGGAGGGTCTGATTTTTGGGGGTTCTTTATATATTTTAGATATTAGTCCTTTGAGGAATAGCTGGCAAATTCTTTTTCCCACACTGTGGGCTTTTTAGTAAGATAAGATCCCAGTTGTTGATTTGTTGTGACAGTTCCTGTGCAATCAGAGTTTTTTGTTCATAAAGTCTTTGCCTACACCAGTATCTCCAAGAGTTCTATGTATTCTCTCTTCCAGCAGATTTAGTGTTTCTGTTTTAGTATTTAGATCTTGGATCCATTTAGATTTTAGTTTAGTGCAAAGTACAACAAAAACCTCAGTTATGCAGTGGAAGTATGTTATATTCTTCAGGGTATTGATACTGTACATTATCCAAGATCATTTATTTTAGAGTACTTTTCCATTCATACTGGACAAAAGAATAAGTTTTAAACATGAAGATGTCAATTTTGTTTTATGTAGGAATTGCGTATTTTATTTATGTGTTCCTTAACAGCAGTGTTGTGAAGCAGATTATGATGATGTTATTTTTTGTTTGGTGTAGAAATTTAATTGGATAGGGATCCAGTGTATGTAGTGAAACACATAGCCTAGTGTATCACACAAATATAGCTGATGGATTAGTGCACTGTAAATATAGCTCAAGCTAATTTGTTAAGTTGTAGTAAATAACA